GTACATGCCGCATACACGTCTCGATGAGGCGTATGGTCATCAGACAACGTTCCACAAATAAACCAGCCTCAAAATGACAGACACTCGACGCGACTCGCGGGAACTGGGTTAATCCGTGACTCTTATTCCACCGATTAAAACGGGGAAAAAGTAGAAAGCCGGTAGTGTAAGTTGAATTGCGGCCGCCATAATTGGACGCAATTTAATTGCAATTGAAACGCGCCGTCCGTCGCGGTCTCGGCCTCAGAAATAGTCGATCGCGTGTGTCGACCGATGATGTAAACCTTCTCTCTCTTCTAAAGCAGCTGGGCCTCGCACGGTTAGTCATCGCAGAGGCAACGTTTTAATTACTTGATTTATCGCGGGCTGGCAGCAGATCGTCGTGATCGCTGCTACATTGCTGTGAGAGAATTGACGGAGACCCCAATTCCTAACGTCTTCCCAACATCTTCCTTGCGGTATTCAAAGGGAATTGGGAGTGAGTCATTGATAATTATTCGAGATCTTGGAATCTGCACCAGCTGCCCGGTGAATCTTACGCGTGGGTCGCGTGTCATGGGGCGAATTGAGCGAGGCCGCCTTCCACCCCTCTTAATTGAAATGGTTCTGGGAATGCGGTGGCATGCGTTGGACAAATCTGAATTTTTCTCCTGTGTTCTCTTGTTCTGCTCTCTCTCAAATCGAGTAAATTGGAGTTTTTAGAAAAAGAGATCTTCGAATATTTCAATTGTATATTTTTTTGGGATATCTGTTCCATCCTTTAAATAATACGAATTCTGCTTATTAAATATTTTATATCTCTTTATAAATTTCATCTATTGCGATGTTTTATGGTATTTATAAATGTTAAGAAAATTGTCGCACGCTTTCAAATTATCATTATCGATGGATTAATTCAATTTATCAAAAAAGAAAGAAAGATGTGAAAGCAGAAATTATTAAGCGTAAAACCCAGATCCAATTACTTCACGCAACGTCTCAAAGCACACAACAACACCTTCCTCTCATTCGTTCCCTATCATTCGTCCACCCGCAGCTTACGAAGCTTTCAAACAAACGATAACGCTTTCCAATCCTTAGCATCGAGACGGAAAAAATCTCAGAATATCGGTTCAGGACGAGGGTTTTAATTCCAGAAGAAGATATTTTCATTCCCTTTGCATTCCCCCCTCTCCAGTCGCAATTAGAGATGCGTCGCGAAATCGTATCGAGCTTCAAAGCTCCTCTCCTCTCGTCCACGCTTTTTTTCCCTTCCCCTTGACAGCCGCGGCCGCGAAAAGAGAGACAAAAAAAAAAAATAAAAAATAAAAGATCACCGGCTGCAAGCCGTAAATAAGTTTGATACAGCTGTACGTGGATTTTTGTGGAGCGTGGGAGAGCACATGGGCTGGGCCGGAGGAGAGGCGTTTCTACGCGCGAGCTTTTCTTTTCCTAGCTAGGAGCATCTGTGCCGTGTGTCGATGTGGAGATGTAACGTGAGAATATATATAATAATGGCGACGTGGGTGACTATAAAACCGACGTGGACGCGATTCGACGTTCGCAAAACACATTCGCTGAGAGGTCCATGCCTCGAAGAGGAGGCGCGTTAAAACGCGAGTTTCTTCGTGTTCGACGGGAGAAGAACCGGTGACGGTGTAATTTACGCGCGAACTCGCAAAGGGAATCGTAATTTTTCGACGTCTCTCTCTCTCTCTTTCTCTCTCTCTGTGGATACGCGGTCGACTTCCGGTTTCGCGAGCGTACCCCTTCGAGCTCGAACAAAAGGTTAACGAAGGATCCGTCAGGATCGATTTACAACGAAGGAAAGCGAGAGATGGATGGGTTTTTTTTTTCTTTTTTATTTTGGAACTAGAGGTAGTAGAGGGATTTTAACGAATGATTAAGAGCACTGTATTGGAATTTTTAATTTGTGAATTGTTTATGATATTTGTAAATCTATATTACTTTCGAAAGTGCATTTTTATTCTCTCTTCTTTGTTGTGTTCGAGAATTTTAAAGATTCTATAATTATTTAACGATTGAATTAATTTGAAAATCTTATGGTAAATAACAATTTGCAATTAAAGCCATTATTTTTTTTTTTTTTTACTATGTTTAACAAGATTTGAGAATTTTTGAAGAGATAAATCCGGAAAGTCATAACCATTAATTCATAAATTTTCTAATATTTTTGTCTTGATAAAAATCGAGTGGAGAAATTACTTGTTTAATGTTTAATTCTCCTTTTCATCATTAGTGTAAATAGAAATCTTGCTATTTTAAAATTGATCGACGCGCGTAAAGAATTATACAGGTAATTCAATGTCAAGTTTATAAAATCTTCGAATCTTGGTCGAGCCAGTTGGAGACGTTGGATAACAGCATTGATTTATTCAAACGTGGGCCTTTGCGTTAAGTAACTCTCGGGAAATCTCGTTTCACGATCTCGTCAAAGTTGAAACATAAGCCGCGATATGAAGTCTTCGAGTTGTAACTTGTTAATCGGATAAAGTTTTTCTTCCCCGATTATTGAGCGTGCTGTACGATTACGCATTGTATCTCAAAGCATCTCTTCTCATTCTCCTCGCCTGTCTTTGCCGATTATTCGAATATAAAATAGTAGTTAACCCGCAGGTGAACCTTAAATTGGTTTTCACCGGATGCCCCGAACGAAACAATTTCGAAGCAATTATCCACCGACACACCGTTCGATATCAGAACAGGTTGTACGAGAATTTGTTCCACGTTTCGTCCCTCGAGAGATCTTACTTGTATTTTTATCTTCAATTTGTCGGGGTTATTATTCGTATGGGTTATTTTTCGAATTTTTTAAAAATTAAGAATAATTCTATAAATTGTATAACGAAATAAATTGATGTTTAAAAATTTGGAAATTTTTTTTCAGAAGAAATCTAAAAATTAGAAAAATTAGAAAAATAATTCTCAAGTATCGAGGTTTAAGAGATCCTAAAAATTGAAAAAAATATTCGGAGTGTTTGCAAAATTTCGAAATACCTAAATACTTCTCCAAAAAGATAATTTAACGGATAATTCCCTTATCAATCATCTGATAAAAACTGATCTCTTTGAAGTGCACCGAGATACCTTCTCCTCGTATATATCATTTCGAGATAAATATCTCGTCGAGAAGAAAAAAAAAGAGAGAGAGAAGAAAAAATTCGTTTAACTTAACTTTTTCTCGCGCCAGATCGTTCCTCTCGATCATTACCCCGACCTATGGTGGGCCGATTACATTGCTTCGTAAATACGGGTTCAAGCGTTGGAGAACTGCAAGAAATTTAATAAAGTCGATGAAAAATGAACGGGCCCTCGCCCGGTTCATTTATCACGGCTATTTATCGGTGCCGAGATACACCTCGATCAACGAAACTTTCCAAATTGTGCCGCGAGGTTAACTCACCCCGTGGGACAAGTTTGAACCGGCTACCAAGGAAACTCCTGCCAACTTCCTTCGAGGACCTAATAATCTCGAGGAACTGTGTACCGACCAACGCCAGTCGAACACGGAACGAACTTCTCCTTTCCTTTGGATTCGAGGCGACCGACGTTTTCCATCCTTTCCCATTACTTAGTTTATTCGGGATCCAACGGGATCTGAAAAGTGGAGGTAAACGATAAAGATCGTTGAATCGAGGAGAATGTAACGCGTGTAACGTGTATAGGGAGGAACGAAAAGGAGAGATTGAAGAAGTGCAAAAAAGTGTCTTTGTTGGATCTGGAGATTGCGAGTAAACGATAAAGATTGGTTGAATAAGGAAAATGTTACGTGTATAGGGAAAGAGAGGGTTAAAGTGCAAATGGTGTCTCTGTTGGATCTGGGGAGTGCCGAATGAACGATAAAGATCGTTGAATGATAAGTATGTGTGTGTGTAGGGAAGAGGAGGAGAAGTTGAAGTGCATAAAAGTGTCGAGAGAAATAATTTTAAATAATTTTATTTGGGAGGGCATGCACTTTACAACCGGCCAATGCAAACCTGGTTGGAATGGTGCCAGAAAATGGTGGAAACATTATGCGAGGGTCGTTTTAAAGGTGAAAGAAATGCGATAAACGGAGAGGGGAGAGTGGAAAGGATGGGAATCCTTCCAAGATCGCGCGATTGTCGCCCTATTTGCTTGGATATTAATCTCCAAGCTTTTCTTTCTGGGTCAACCCAGAAGCGAGGGATACCGCTGTGATATTCCTTCGAGATTTCTAATTTGCGAGGATGAAAGTGGGAGATGACCGTGGAGTCGTTGCTTCCTTCGTGGCAGAGAGTAGTAGTTGGAAGGATGGATGACGTTAATTTGTTTATATAAATGGAATAATACATAGGAAGAGGATACGATGAAAATACTTGTGTACGACTTTTGGAAGAATATCGAAGAAAAAGTTGCTTATCAAAAATTAAGTAAATAAATTATTAATACATTAAATCATTACAATAAAAATTATTCAAAATAACTCATAATCTATATGTTTAAACAATGGAAAGAAATGGAAATTTAGAAATTAATCTTACACTATTCATACTTATTGAATAAATTTCACGAAAATTAATAACCAATCTTGAATAATCTAAAATGTCACACGTGATAGCAAACGAAATCGAAAGAATAAAATCATTCGAAACTCTTCTCCTATTCCCGGATGCGTGCGAAAAGAAAACCACACACTTGAACAGCCATTTTAACGTGGATCTAGCCCATAAACCGATCGAATACACACTTGCTAGGAACGATAACGTAGTTCACCCTTGTCGCGAGTGGTCGTTCATCACCGCTAAAAGCTTATACCTTATCGAGGCCGACCGATAAAGGGATCACGCCTACGCTGTTTCCCCACCAAGGTCACCAATGCACCCATTGCATGCACTGCAGACGTGATGCAGGTGAATAAAAGGTGCACTTAAGCAAGACAGTTCCTCAGATGTTCCCACGTTCTTCTCCCCTCTAGCTACCCTTCGCCGTAGCGGACGAGAATGGCGTTGCTAAGTGGTGTTTCCCCGATTCTGTTCCAGCATCACATAAAATTGAGGCACGAAAGACATCGCCGACAACATGGGGAGAGCTATCTGCCAAGCAGTTTTGTGCTGGACACGGACGAGGCTGAACGAGGAACTTGGGGGCCCTGGTCGTCGGCCAGCTCCTGTTCCAGGTCGTGTGGTGGTGGTGTCGCCCATCAGACCAGGCAGTGTCTCGACATCGAGTGAGTATTAATTGTTTCCAGTGTCGATCTTGATCCACTTGTCTTTATTTTATTACTTTTTAACCGATAACTCTTTCGCTTTGTAATTTTGTGCATATATTGTATATTAGTAAGTTTTGAACGGTAAAGTGTAAGGATCTATGACGTACAAATGATATTGATACGAATGTGAATTTCAAAGAATGGAATGGAAACACTATCAATTATAAAATTCTTCCAATGTAAAACTACAAAGAAAATATTTGAACAGAATCTCGATTAAATATCCAGTCAAATTAAGAATATAAAAAAAAGTATACAAAATAACAAATTACAATGTCTTGCACAAGTTGCTGCAATCCTTTCCCATTTCCATGATCGCGTATTAATATTCACGAGGTTTCTCCTCGCATTTACAATTTTCTTTTAATATTAATTACGGGATAACTGGAAGACGGTCTTGTTGAAATCCCAAACGTTCCCGCGAAACGGTTTCAATCCTTCGCTGAAAATTAATGGAAAATTAATTTTTTATCCCATCATTTCTCGTGGAGAGATGGGTTTGCACAAATTCAATCCGCCGTCTTCTTTCCACGCTTCGAGGACTTTTCCGCGGGTATTTTTTTGACGGGCCAACTTCTTGCCCAAGAATCACGGTAAATCCTTCTTATCTAAAGGATGCTCTCGGCCGAGATTAATCGCGGGAACCGGGCGCTTCCGGTTCTGCCGTCTTTGAGGAGACGACGCCTTCAAAGGATATATATTCCGGGTTTGAAAGGACGGGGAAGTGGCTCGTTCGCGAATTTCGTTACGTAAATGAGAGGGAGGGGAGGAAAATCGTACGAGTGGAACGATCTAACAGGTATCGAAGAAATCGAGAGCTAATAACACGTTCGAGGGAACGTGAAAGCTAGGGCTAATCGTATCTCGTGAAAGCAGAATTTCGAATGATCCTATGTGTACAGAGGTTTTCAATTCATTTGTGCATCCTTCGTATCTTCGGTGGATAAATATTGTATTGTTGCAGATCGTTAAAATGACGGGATTATTAATGAAAACTGTTTATTTGGAAACGAATATTGATCAAAATTTGGATTGTGGATAATTCGGTGGATAATTCTGTACGATTGAAAAATATTGAATTTAATTAAATTTATTCGTTATTAAAATTTGTAAATTCATTTCTATTTGGAACTTCGTTTCTTATTATTTATTATATTTCAATTTATGGGAGAAAAGGAATTTTCTTTTTTTTTTAATAATATACAATATGCTTTTATGATATATATATATATATATAATTAATGATAAACTTGTATTTAGCTATTTTTAAAATAAAATATTTAATTACCAAGTTAAGAATGAATTTACATATTTATGAATCTTTTATTACACGTATAACAATCTTAGTTTAATCTCGTGTACAAATACGAGACGCGTTTGTACGTGTCCAATGGATCTTCATTTATTTTAGAGAAATTAATCAATAGCTGAGTTATTGATTTAACGAGCTTTGAGATTTAATGATGTAGCTTGGATAATCGCAGCGAATCCTTAGAGAGAGCATGCAGATTGAGAACCGCTGAGATAGAGAACCGTGTCGTAGGTCAGGCTTAATCGCGGTGCATTACGGTTCTTTTCAGTTTACGATCAAATACTCACGATTTCTCAGAACTAAATTTCGAAACAGAATTTCTGCGTAATTTTAGATTAGCACGAGCTTGATTAATTTAACGGGGGATCGATTATATGGAAGGTGGCGAGGTAATCGAAATTGCGAAAGTGTTTACGATTCGAACACTTTCGAGTAAAAGGCACACATTTTTATTTCTTTCTCGATCGAATATATCGAAATTTATCGGCAATATTCGTAGAAATAATCAGTGATTTGTTTTACAAATGTATAATAATTCGTAATAAAAATAATTATCGTTCGTACTCGACGATCAGATTCATTAGATGTGTGTGCAATTATCCTACAATACAGTTTCAAATAAACAGTTTCAGGCAAAAATTACGCGTCATCAGTGCGATTATTTACAAAACGTGTTAATCCATCGAAGAAAAATTAAAAGGAAATTCGATTTAAAATATCGTTATTTCCCGCGATAATTTTTTCCCGTAATTTTTTCATTCTCTCTACACAAAAGAGGGAGGAAAAAAAAAAATATCTTTTTTAAAAACAATCTTCAAAACCTTCGAGTTCTCGCGTTTTAAAAAATCCCAGCGAATAGTTCAACAAGCACGATTCAACTAATCCGAGCCGGTGATTCAGCCGCGCTTTAAACTGCGCTTTAAGTGCATTAAGCTGATACGTTGCATTCGTTTCACCTGATTTCCACGTGAAAATTTCATTGGGACGGAACCGATCGAGGGAGCGCAATTTTCTCGAAAGGATTGCGCGCGAATTATTTAAAAAGGGAGACGGTCGAATCGGATTTCTCGCATTTTTCGACTGGCTCGTTGGGGAATGTTGGCGGTTAAAAAAGAAAGAATTCTTCCCTCCGTACTTCCTTCGAGTTTTCTCGAAAGAAGCTCGTTAACGAGGAACCACCATCGACCAGATTTAACGGAGTGTGAATTTCCGATTAGAGATAGAGGCCGCCATGCTTTCGCCCGTGATCGTTGGATCTTTGACCGAAATTTGAAGATTCGAAGGGATTGGAGAAACGTTTGTTGGCCAAATTTCCAAATAAAACGGAGATAATTATCGTTTCGCGATAGAAATTCTAGTTTGGTTAAATTTTCCAGAAATTGAAGAGAAAAAGAGAGATTAATTACTAGAAAATTATTTTATCATTGCAGCGACAATGGGTACAGCAGGTGCACCGGTGCATCGAGGCGATTCTTCTCCTGCAACATTCAGGTAAGCGAAATAAATGTGGCATATTGCATAATTCATATAATATTGCATGATGATAATATGTATGAATTAATTCATAGAATATTAAATCCAACGAAATTTACTAATGACGTTCGTAATTTACAAATCAAAATTAATTTTTAATGTGTTATTTTAAAATTTATCTTAAAATAATTACTGTAAAGATTCTAATTCTTCTATCGTTTGAACGATAGTACGATTTTGCTTTCTTTCGCTTTTTTTTTTCTTTTTTTTTATAATAAATATAAAATATGTAGATCAATCATTAATTCGTACAGCGAAAGAAGATTTATACTATTCGCTTTAAATTGGACAATCTATTAAAAGATGACGTGCCATCGACCCATGATCGCTTCAATTATTTGCATCTGCATGATCAATAAATCTAATACCGTTCTCTATTGTTCTCTAGTGTTGACCGATATTTTTGCTTTCTCTAAACAGCTGTTATTATTAGTCCCGATCAAATAAATGGAGAATTGTGTTTCGATACAGAAATTAACAAGAAAATTGTATAATAATGATAGTAACCATAACAAGTTTATTAGCTTATTACACTGATCAAATATTACCGATTAGATTTACATTATCTATGTTGTGTACCAACTACAATAATTTTCATGAATTTTCAACCAAATCCACTTTTGTATATTAATATAAAATTCTGTGTAATTACGCAGAATTATCATCGAGAAAGTTTCTTTCTCAATTTTGTGATTTTTAATTTACATCTCACGATTGACTTATTACACAATTCAACATTTAATTTGAATACATATATATCCTATTATAAACTTTCGTATCTATGATTCATCACGTGGATTCCAATAGTTTTAATACAATCAAAAGGCCGCAGATAATTTTCTCAAATTAAAATTGAATTTAATCCGCATCTTTTATTATTTAATCAATTTTTAGCATTTCTTCAAAGAAAATTAACGATTAGAAGTCTTGCAAAAGAGTAAAAATTCCTTGAAACTGAAGTAACATTTAAAAACTGCTAATCTTATAAAATAATAAATTTTAGAAATTTAATTTTTAATCTTATCTTATAAAAAGAATCCTTCTCGATATTTTTAACTATCTAAAAATCCTCTCAATTTCTCTCGCCCGTTCCCCACTTAATTTAAAGCCGATCTTTCATTAACGTGAGAATATACACGTGCACGTCCCTAACCTTTGAATATGTCGGTCAATTTCTCGCGTATCGGTTCGACGGTCTTTAATAAAATGATTTATACCATTATTTAATTCCCTTCGTTAAATGTCAGCCGCAGCGTGGTTGAACCCTGAACCCATCCTCCAATGATCTTCTCAACGATGACAACCGTTTCACGTGTGGCCCTTTCAAAGAATCTTTCGTTTCTTTCATCGCGTACGCCTCGAATCGATCCGACTGTTATCATTTTGGATGGCTGTGGCTCGCACACCAGCTCCTGTCCAACTTTCATTTAAAACCACTTAATCAAAGCGATACTGTTAATCCCCATTCCTTTCTCCCCTTGATTTTGACAAATTGATTCGACCATCGATCCATCCCTTCGAATCCTCGCGACTCGAGCCACAGATTGTCTGGAAAATTGATGAGAAGAAAATTGTAATCTTCGTATACGTTCTATATTTTAAGTGTAATCTTCTTATATTTTATTTTTGAGATGTAAGAATTCGTGCACATTCGTGCAATTTGTCATTGTTATCAAACATTATTGAGTTTTCGTTATATCACTATAATAACAATGTAACATTAAATAAAATGATATAAAATTATATACGTATAAAAATTTCCAATGTCATGAATAACTTTGATCATGATATATATATATACATATTATGCAAATTTTTATCATTTCATTTAATATTTAAAGTACTTAAATTATTCTTTTTAATATGCATGATCATCTTTATTAAATTTGAAAATTAATAACCAATATTTGTCACGAGGAATATACGAAGTAATAATATAACAAGAACGTATAAAGAGTAAATATAAGGCTCACTCGTTCCTCTTCCATTTCATCATTCGAAACACTTTCCAAAACAAAATCATTCGTCGCGATAAATTGGTCGAACGATATAAAAACCGCACGATGGCCACGATCATACTGGCGATGACACATCCGAACGAGCCATCCAAAATGAAACGAGATGGAATTATCGATTAATAACCAGACGAAGGGTTAATAGTCGGTGACAAGCAACCGGTTCCTGGAACCGTGCCATTTCACCCTGGAGTCGTGCTTACGAGGTCACCAGGACTCGCCGTAAAATCCAGGTAGCACCAACAACCATCGTTTCTTCGGTGCATCTATTCGGTTGATGGACTCTTCGACCCCTTGCGAGCAGGGATTAAAAGTTTATGGCCACGTTTTAGGATCTGCTTCTCGCGGGGGAACACTAAATCTTGCCTCGAGAGTGCTCAGAAGTGGATTCGATGGTCCACGTTGAACGATCGTACGCGATCCCTTGCAACTGCAATCGTAAACACACGTGAAGACGTAGGGTACGGTTGAGTGGTCGTCAAGTTTAAGAAGGTCCAAGTTTAAATCTTGGATTCTTCTTCGATTATATATATATATATTTTGGTCGCGGTTGTTTTTGTTTGTAAGGTTTGTAGAGTTTGTTTTGAGAGAGAGGATTTTGTTTTTAGCAAGATTATTTGATAGGTTTGTGTATATCTTCATTCCAAGTTTGATTTTACTTATTTGATTTCGATGAACTGACATCTTTAAGTTAATAATAGATTTTTTGTTTTGGACTTTTAAAAAATAGATTTTTAAAATAATTGTTAAAATTTTTTTTTAATGACAATTGAAATAGCAATTAAGATGAAACTAAAAAATTTTATCCATTAAAATGTGCATGTAATCGGAAAAAAATTTTCTTTTTTAATTCAAATTCATCGAAAGAAGTAAAACTAAAATATAAAATATAACGAGTTTAATATCTTTTATTTTTTTATCCAATGCCTTCATTACCAAAGCACTACTTACTTTACGATCAAACAATGAAATATCCGAGTAACTTTAAAGTATTGTAAGCATATTGTTAGCAGTTCAAGTGGCTATAGAAGCAGCAGTCCTAATTTTTATTATCTCGTTACTGATCGATCTTCAGCCAGAACAAATTGTAAAAAAAAAAAACCACACAAGGATCTCTAATGAGATTTCTCTTTCCGAGTTAAAAATTAATTTATCTACGCGCGCGCGCGCGCGAGAGTCACACAAGAGATTTCCTCTTCGTCGATAATTGAACCTACGTCGCATCAATTTTCACGAACACCCACCAATCCACCAATCCCACGACTTTAATTTAATTTTCCCAAGTCACGAACCCCTCTATCCAGCCTATACCTAAGACACAGAGAACTACTTCGAGAACTGAATCACTTGGTTCAACCCTCGTCCAGGAAGATTCCATGTGAAAATGTATTTCTGAAAGTCACGTAGCCCCCATAAAAATTATTCCCTCAATATAGCGAAACTTGCGATCCTTCGAATTATTTTTCTCTTTCGATCGATCTTTCTTGAACTTGAACGCAATATTAGACAATATTGCAAGTGTGTTTTTTAAGACACATATACTCTGTGAATCAAAATTAGATTTATTGAAAGAGATGCTCTATATATATATGTAAAAATATATATATATTTTAATTTAATTTTTATTTTCAGAAAATAAAGATTTAAAAATCTTCAATGCTCCATTTAATTATTAATTAATTATTTAATGTAGTATGCCACGAATAATACGAGAGGTCAAGTTGTAGATATAAAATCACTTATAGGGGTAAAAGGATCGTCGAAAATGCTTGCATAGCTTTAAACATCCTTTAATGATCTTTGATCAGCAACAATGTGGGCCGGCCATGTGTATAGTGCACTGTCGTAGATGCTAAAATTTATGAACGGCCGCCCATTATACGGCATGAAACTCGCAAAGTATTAACTTCGTTAAAGTGACGTGCTAAATGAAACGGGCCGCAAGCTGCGTTGCTGTTATGCGTTCACGACCTATACATATCGATCGCTGATTCATCCACCTATATATACTCAGGCTTAACTGTGTATAAATATTCGTTCTTGATAAATATCTTCAATAATATTTTCCCGATAAATATATATATATATATATTTTTATATTGTGAAAGCGTGAACGTAAATTTGAAAACTTGCCGTCACTCTACATTAGATATTGTAATATGGAAACGTTGGTTGACGCAACACTCCAAGTATGTCGATTAATTAATTACGTTCGCTTCTTACACGAGGAAGCATAAAGTAAAATGTTACGAGATCGAGCAAGAATCCACTCGTAGAACTCGTGTATATTTTCAAAAATTTCTTCACTTTTCCTCACCTGTCTCGTTATTATATTTAATTTAACTCGATATAATTCTTTTTGAATTAATATTTTATAATTTTTGTCGAAAAACGCAGACTTTCCAGCAGAGAAAGTCCAAGATTCGTAAAGTTAAAATTCGTTCCAATTTCGAACGCGATATATTGAAATTTCTATTTCAATTCCATCTCTCCACCAATAGTATTTCATTAATCTCGCGTTAAACGCGAAGAAACTCGCCCAGTTTCTCCAACAATTGGACCTAATAATTTATTAACACTGGGCAAACGTTGGCTAAAACCAGTGGTCGTTTAATCACATTCACCGTGGAAAATGGCGTGTCCCCCTACATTCCTAGGGAATTGAACGGCCGCCAGGCCACTTGGAATATCAGGGGCGATTCATTTCTCGCCACGAATTGCTCGTCGTTGCAAAAATTTCCCCCCCACTCCCCGAACGGCGCCCATTGTTCTCGCCCCCCGCTTTGTCCCGCTACCGCGAAACATTTCGTAATTAGTAACAATGCCTGCCGGCTAAACAGAGAGATTATTGAACGGCGGAAACTCCCTGTGGAGACTTCGGTGGATGAGAGCTTCGGTCGGGCTGGGGAGGGGGAATAAACGCGAAAAAAGGAGCCAAAGAAGATGGATTTCTTTAACGAGGAGAACCTTTAATTGCGAGTCTTTCGTGATTATCGGGAATATCTCTTATTTTCCAGATTGTCTCTCATGATTTTGTCGCTGAATTTTCTGGTTTATGATTTGAATCGGATCGAGGAAAATTGTGGTAAGCGATATAATTTCTCGAGGAAAGCAATGATAAGTTGAATAAGTTGAATAATCTGTTTTCCAGTGTAATAGGAATTTAATTCTTCAGTTTGCAATATTTAACAATTCCAATATCATTGGATTAAAAATAACACTCTCTCGTATCGTCAAATTATATGAAAAATTCTCTGAGATGATCTATGAAACTGAATAAAAGTATAGAGAACCGCTATGATCGAATTGATAAATTAGGATTTGAATCTAGGTCTTTCGCTTGTCAAACCATTGCTTTACCAATTGGGCTATTTGATCAAATAAATTCTTCTTCCTTGCATCCAATACTATCGATGTAAGTAACGGCATCGTAAATATACGAGATCTCTGTTTAGAATATATATGTCTCTTCTACTTTAAATTCTTTTAATGGAAAATAGTCGATTTGTTGGTATTGCGAATCTCGAAGAATGTTTGCTTCGAAAAAAGAGTGGGAGGGACGTCACGTGTAACATTCTTCGAAACTAAGCCCGTGTATTTTTCCTCTTTATTCCATGCTTGAAGGATGTTTGACGTTCGAGGGGGGAGGAAGTGAACGACACCTGGCAAAGACAAGTGGCGCATAAAAGATCGGAACAAACAGAAGACGCTCCGCGCATTCGTTCTCCCAAACATGAGATATTGCGATTCTTTCGAGGATTACAGCCAGCTTGTGCTGAAAAGACGACAGGGCAATCGGTATACTTTAATATTCCCCTGTCCATAAATCACACATGGAAAACAGAAAACAGAATTGAATTATTGCAAATGTTATTCTTTACGATAGATTTGTAGCTTTATTCATTGATAATTTCACTAGTAAAATCCCATTTACACTTTTGCCAAGTGTAACGTGATAAATTTAACAATTCTTGCCATCAATTCTCTTACATAGAATTTTTCAAAGTTCTTCCAAAAATCAATAAATTACATACTCGAAACAGTGTATCTCCAAATCAAAAAACAAATCTTTTTTTCAGAAAAAAAAAATTTTTTCCTCCTTTCGCCTGTATAAACCTATATAAACAACCTATATAACATCAATTTTCAAGAAGAAGAAACAGATCCCTCACCAAGGCTCGCATTCTCCCATTCGATCGACGAGAATACGCGCAGCTTTCTTTTCAAAACTGTGCCACGTGAGGCATCGTGAACGATTGTGACGCGAATTCAAGGTCAATCGGTAGAGAGAGAGAGAGGAAACGGTTCGTCATAAATCAGACTAGGGTCGTGGGATCTTTGACATCGTTTCGGGCTCGCGGGTTTCGCGATCGAGATTTTTTTTTCCTTTGCGGTCACCGAACGAACCTGGTTTCACCCGATGGACCCCACCCCTTACCACGAGAGGTTCCAAGGAACCCCTCGTCATAAATCCTCCACGAGGAGGTATCCTCGTGCGTGCTGTACCAGTTCCACAGGGATATCTTTTTTTTTTTTTTTTTTTTTTTACATCACCTCGATTTATCGGTATTACCTGGACAACTTCTACGTATCGTATACTCTTGTAGCCGTGTTAGTCTCGAACCATCTAATTTTTCTATGATGGCGGAGATAGTGTGTATGGTGTACGTGGAGGGAGGAGGGTCGTTCTGGAGGGGAAATTTAGAGTTGTGTCTCGATGATATCATCGAGGGTCGTTGGAATGATGGTGTTGTTTGTTTGAATTGTTGTTGAAGGGGAGTATTGAGATTTTCTTTCTTGTTCTTCTGTATTGTTGAGAGCTTGGGATTTGGAGGATTATATATGATTAATTTGATGGTAATAATTTTCTACGTGACGTTTATGGACTGGTCTTGGATTTGTTTTTTTCTGGAGTATTTATAGGAGAAAGTATTTCAAAATTGAACGCAGTAATTGTAAAAAAAAAAAAAAAAAATAAAACGTTTGTGTTTGATATACTAGTTTACAATGTGACCAAGCACATTTTTCAATCTTCATTTTTATCCCTCGCATATTTCTTCACGAAGAAGATTCCTCCCCCTGATTTGTTACAATATTTATGAAATTCTCGTAGAACTGCAGTTTCATGGGTAGGAGAATAGAAGAACAGGAAAACAACGTGAAAGCATGGCCATTTGTAACCGGAAGTTTTTCCCTTTGTTAATCTAGTGATTCATCATCGATTTCCATCTTCCATTTTCTAAATGGAACTTGTTCCTTCTGATTATCAATATTTCGATTTTAAGTATTCAACTAATATTCTCTAATATCTCACTAATACTTCAATTACTTACTTGAGCTTTATAATTAACTTCAATAAGCTTCTGTGCAAAATTTAATTCACAAATTAAATATCGATTTTTTGCTTGCATTTTCAATTAGATCGAATCTAATTACAAGTTTTTATTATCAATTATTATCAATTTCAAGATAAAATGTATTAAAAATTGTATCAAAATCATTGGCTTCAATTTCTCGATCCCAAAAATTAATTATACTTTAACTTTCACGGATAAAAAAAATAATTTTCCTCCCTTATAGAATCATGAAATAAAACTGCACGCGTCCAAAGATAATTTATTAACACTCTTCCTTCCGTTCCTTTGTCCAGGAATGTCCAGGCGAGGCGAAGGACTTCCGCGCGGAGCAGTGCGCGGAATTTAACAGCGTGCCATTCGAGGGAATTTACTACGAGTGAGTATAATCGAAAACGATCCCTGTGACGTGTTCTGTCACAGCGTATCGGTGGAAATCGTTTTCGAAATCCCGATACCGATACCGGGAATCTGATTTATCGTCGACGTCATGTTTGACGATGGAAGATCGTGACCTTTTCACGTCACGAGATCTAATTCGAAATTGAAATCTATCCTCGTTTTAATTCGTATCCGACGCGAGATCTTCGTGTCCGAGTTTCGTACGTGTCGTTGATACTTGAATTTTTATCGAAAAATTGAAATATTCTTTTAATATCTTTTAAAATGTATATCTTTGTTACTTTAAGGATACCAAAGTACGAATATTCTTTTGTTTATTTTTTCGAAGAGTAAAATAATTAAAAGATTGTTCGATTGTTAAGATCGCAAAATAAATTCGAATCAATTCATTGAACGCTAAGACAGTCATCGCAATTAGCCTTCATAAATGTTATATTATACGCTGCTTCCATGCAAAAGACGATAATCGACTCGAATTAATCAAAATTATGCGATCGTATCGTTTTTTTTATCCGATGAAACGACAACAAAATTTAATTTCACTCTACAAACGATCCATTAAATATTTGTTAAACTTTTCGAAACATCACCGGAAAGGGGAGATCGGCCAGTTATCGAGAAGAGATCGATGGCGATCGATCTCTCCGTGGATCTTCTCCGGTGAACAACAGCGAGACTAATCGTGCAAAATCATTCGCAGTTGGATTCCGTACACGGGCGGGCCGAACAAGTGCGAATTGAATTGCATGCCACGAGGCGAGCGTTTCTTCTACAGACACAAGCTGATGGTGATAGACGGGACGCCATGCGAGGTGGAGAAGAACGACGTCTGTGTCGGAGGCAAATGCATGGTGAGTTAAACGATCCATGATTCACCAATGATCGAGACCATTGTCCGTTCCTCTTTGAATTGAATCGTGTGGCCAATCGAGTAAAAATTAAATTATTCGTTATTAATCGGTAGGTATAATTATAATTTGCAATAAAAATATTAATAAGTGCGTTAATGTGTAATTGTTGTTTGATTGATTAGCCTGTTGGATGTGACATGATGCTTGGAAGCGAGGTGAAGGAGGATGCTTGCAGGGAATGTGGAGGAGATGGGTCTAATTGTAATACCGTTTCCGGTTTGTTTGATACGGATGATCTTCAAGCGGGTAAATAAAAGTATTTATTTTACTTTTTCTTCGTGGATAATTAGGTGATTGTATGTTTCTCGTCTTGCAATAGATCAAATTTGATTTAGATTTTGTTACATGTTTCTGCAATTATTTTTTTATTAAATTTCGTTAAATGATAATCTATATTGAAATAAGATATCAATTAAACTTTTATTCAATTAAAAATTAGAATAAGATATATTTTAAAAAACGGAAAAAAAGATTATTGTAATTAAGAATATATTGTAAAATTAATCACAAAATTACCTTTTTTTTTTCCTTTATTAAATATCATCCAGGATACATCGATATCATATTGATTCCCAAAGGAGCAACGAACGTTGTGATAAAGGAGATCGAACCCTCGAACAATTATTTAGGTGAGTAAACTTTGAATATCGTAATGATCCATAATTACCATTATACCGCGTGATTAAACGTTGATGAGAGCCGCCACGTTTTAACACGTTTTATACCGGCAGCTATTAGAAACACTTCGGGCCATTATTATCTAAATGGAAACTGGAGGATAGATTTCCCGCGAAGCTTGAAATTCGCCGGGACTATATTCCATTATTCGAGAGATCCGCAAGGTTTCTCAGCACCCGATACCATTACCGCCTTGGGACCGACGAATGAGTCAATTTACGTGGTGGTGAGTGGCTGCATCGCTCTTAAATAGCAAATTACAATGTTATACAGTCAGACCACTTTTTTCTAGCATTATATAAAAATCACTAAGTAAGAAATTTTTTTTTTTTATTAACAGGCAATTTATTAGAATAAATTAGCTTTTTATAAATGATAAATAATTACCTTAAATTATAATACAGTAATAATGAATCTGTATTTCAATTTTTTATTTATTCCAGTAAAGCGAATGAGAAGTTGAATTCAAAGGACATTTTACTTTATTTTAACATATTTAAAAAGATTTTCTCCTTTCAAATAAAATAAATAATGTCCAATCGTCGATCATCGTGCAAATCCTGTTGAAATAACAAAACAATAATTATAAAGTTTAACAAAAAAATAATTATAAGAAAATATCAATCTAAAAATTATCTTCACAAATCCAAATAATCCATTCCTCGATTGCAAAGTGTCCGTACAATTTCTTTATAATTCGATGATTATCGCTTCAAGAAGAAGAATAATTCGCGTAATTGTTTTTGACAGCTCCTTTATCAAGATCACAACGTTGGGGTTCACTACGAGTATAGCGTGCCGAAGAGGGTTTCCCAGCAAACAGACGCGGATAGTTATACGTGGATAACCGACGAATTTTCCAGCTGTAGCGCGACTTGCGGTGGAGGTAGTATTTCCAAAATTGATACCGTTACAGCTAAATACACGGTGAATGTAATCAATAATCGGATAGCCGTTGTTTATACGGTTCTATCGATGTTCTCTAAATTTGATCCAGCAATTTACGGAAGGTACAGATGCTCCAGGTTTGATGAAAATTTATTAATTAATATGCTTTCCATTTAATGCACCTCTAAACGGATCATTCAATGTTCCGTTCATCGTACGTTGGATCATCGAGTCAGTGGTTAAGAGCGAAAGTTGTTCATTTTTAAAAAATTCAAATATCGATTTGATGATGATTTTGTTTTCTAATTCTGAGAATGAATTTTTTTTTTAAGTTGCTTGTTAGAACATTTTTTTGTCAATTATCAAATCAATAATATAATTTTATTTTTATATAATTTGTATGTAATTCATTTATAAATTTTCTTATAATTTTCCTTTTTATGCAACGATAATAATTTTGGCTTTGGAATAACACATATTTAATTTCAATGAATAATAATACAATGAGTTATATAGATATTTAATATTTTCGCTTAGATTGGTACCTAGATCTTTCAAAAATAACAATTCTTTAATTACTTATGAATTATGATCGAAAAGGTAGTAAAATTATTTCAAATATCCCTTCACGGAAATAATTGCAATCATTTACAAGATAACTATTAGTTTCACTTACCTAGAATAATTCTTTTTCAAAGGTTATCAATCGAGACGCGTGGCCTGCGTACGAAGAAGGGATAACCAACCGGTGGATGAGAGCCTTTGCGATCCGCAGTTGGAACCAGCTGACACAGAGGCATGTAACGTGGACCCGTGTCCACCTGTGTGGGTGGAGGGCGAATGGGGCCCCTGCAACAAGCACTGCGGCAAAGGAGGTGAGCAGAGCAGAGAGATCAAATGCGAGCAGGTCATCTCCGGTGGAATTCCCACATTGGTGGACGATAGTCAGTGTTTGGAGAAGGTAGGACCAAAAGGTCCGACCAATCAGGAATGTAACAAGGATGTACCGTGCCCGCAATTCCATGTGGGACCCTGGAAACCGGTACGAATTTTTTGAATAAATACTTTTTGATATTTTAAAATTTAAAAGTTTTTACGTTTCAATTTTATTTTCCTTTTAATAATTAATTATATTTAATTATACTTTTGGAATATAAAATTTTTCTCAATCTTAAATGTGAATGTATCACGATTCATTATTGAAGAAGCTTTTCAGAATGGGTACGAATCTTTTGATGTATATATAATTTGGACATATATATAACCATTCAAAGTATTAAGAAATTATTTAACATCATATATAGAATACAAAATAATTATAATTATATTAATAAACTAATAATGGTAGATTTTAGGGATAAAATAACAATTTTTTTGTATCTTCTTATTACACAGTGTGATCATTTGTGCGGACCGGGCAAGCAAACCAGAAGAGTGACGTGTTACACGAAGGTGGACGGGAAGATTCAAGTGCTGGAGGATCAGGCATGCGAGGGAGACGTTCCAGAGCGTGAGAAACCTTGCGAATTGAGACCTTGCGCCGGCCTCGACTGGGTCACGTCGGATTGGAGTGGAGTAAGCCCGCAATTTTTCACGCGATACCGCCTAAACCTCTCTCTCGTGGTGTCATTCCATTTAAAATATAGGAGAAAATAAAAGCTTCTATACGAATATATTTTCGGCAAGCGATAGTACAAAAGCATGTAAATGAAAATAGTGTCCTATATTCTTTCTCGTGTCACGAATTCGTTCTCTCTTTACGATTATTGCTCGACAACTTTGATCACTTTTCCCCAGTGCGACGACAAATGTGGACTTAGCCAAGAAACCAGGACCACATACTGCGCCACTCAAGATGGAACCGTTTATCCGGATGAAAAATGCAACGTCGAAAAGCCTGAATTGACGCGAGATTGCGAGAGTAAAAAGGAATGCGAGGTTCTCTGGTTCGCTTCTCAATGGAGCGACGTAAGTTTATTATTATATTGTTAGAATATTAGCAATTGAAATTCAGCAATTGTACCCTCTTGCTCGATAATTTATTAATTAACAATACAAGTCAATTGAAAAATTATAAAATGATAATTTATAAAATTTTCTTCTATAGTTTGACACATTCTGTACGAGTGACAGTACGCGTCATGAACTTTTCCAAGAAATGTGAAAGATGAAAAAGAATTTTCCACATATCCGGCTTTTCTTTTGCACACGTGTTCAGTACGAGTGTTATCGTTAGTATACACAGTCATTTTGGATTTCATTGTATTTTTAATCCCGTGATTTTTGATCCCAAATTTTTGAACGAACTAATAATTTTATATCAAAAGTTTGTAAAATTTCCTTTCTATTATATTGTTATTATTAAGCAGATAATTAAAAAAGAAATTAAATTTAACATAAAAAGCGCAGGATATATTTGTCTCAAAGAAGATAGAAGATAGAAAATAATAATGACAGAATTTGATATAATAAATTTTCTATCAGAAAGAATTATCGATTTTAAAAATGTAATTTATAATATTTTTTTTATGAAAAAGTTTTGTCGTATTTAATACGTTCACGTGACATTTGACATACAATTACTTTGGTGCCATAGTGTTCAGCGAAATGTGGGTCAGGTGTGCAGACACGCAAGGTGTTCTGTGGTACGTTCGAAGGTGAAACGGTGACGAAAGTGCCAGACGAAAAATGCGACCTGGCCAAGAGATTCAACGACACGAAAAATTGCACAGCCGAAGAGGAGTGCAAAGGAGAATGGTTTGCTGGCCCATGGAGCAAGGTAATGCATATATTCATTTTGAAATAAACTTCAAGTTTCTGTGGAATTTTTTCTCTTTTCAATGATTTTTAATGATTCCATTCAATGATTTCAAAGATGGTTTCGAGAATACATAAAATTTCATTCATAAAAATAAAAATAAAATTCATTGAACTAATAAATCCTGCAATCTCTTATAGTTACAAATAAAGTAAAAGATTTTAATTAAAAAGATATATCAATCATATATAATTTTATGATACTCATTTAATACTAAAATTCCAGGAATTTCATTCTATATGAAATTTTACCAGCACTCATTTTTTACATAATTTCCTTGATTTTATGATTTTAATTAACACTATCCTTGAGTACCGTTGAGAATTAAATAATCTTTCTTATTAATATCAATTAATTATGTATTTTTGTATCAAAATGTTTGAAATTAATTTCATTTTTTTTAATACCATAATGAATATTATACTTTGGATATTTTGCATTTTTTTGTATTCCATACAAGCATATTCCATAAATTTTTATACTTCAACATTTTTATAATTCAACATTTTCATTACTATATATAAATATCCGCATTCTCTTTGTAATTTGAAAATTTTCTATTCAAGCAATTGAAATATCCAATTCTAGCACTAGGGGATAATTTTCTTAGAAAAATCTCGTTACCAACGTGAGGTATTCGCGAGAAATATATCGCGTCCTGTTCTCCTTCGGTCGCCAAAGAAATTCAATATCTTCGACGGCTTTGTAGCGAGCCTAACAAGAAGGCGTCCGCCTCAAATTTCTTCCATTAATCACCTTACCGTGTTCCAGTGTTCGAAACCATGCGGCGGTGGCACGATGAACCGCAAGGTGATTTGCATGAAGGCCAACATGACAGTGCCAAACTGTGGCATCAACACGATTATATTCTCCGTAGAAAATTGCAACAATCAACCATGCGAATCAGGTATCTTCTATGACAATTCCATATTTTGCGAAAATTGACTTAGAGATCCGATTAAAGAATTTCGACTTCAATTTTTTGCATCAATTTCTTGGTGTTTAAATAATTCATTTTTTTCTTTTACTTTTATTTTTATCCTTTAATCTTGTAATAATTTATTTGAAAATTTATTTATTTTTGGATTTAGAAAAATTCTTAAATCTGAAATTGTTTAATCTTAGTAAAAAATTAAAATAAAAAACGATAAACATTAAATGATAAAACAAATAATTTTGTATTTTCCTATAAAGAGAAATCTTCAAATCTAGTTAGATTGTTATTATATGTTATATAATAAATCTCAAAATCAATAAGATTATATATATTTTTAGGAATAGAATATGAATGTTTAAAATATGTCCCTGAAAGCAAAATGAAACCAATTATACAAAATTATTTTAGTTTGTGTTCATCTATTGATTGCAATAATTTCGCACTTCATTATTCTGTTAATAATAAATTATAAAATTTTTTATCATATTGCATTTAAATATATATTAAATTAAAATATTTTTGCACAAATTAATTTTCTATTAATATTCTATGGAATGACAAAAGAAATAGTATATAATAACTATTTACGTTCCAAAAATTTTTATTAAAATCAAAATTTATTATATATTCAGAAATTCTATCTCTAAATTAAAAACAATTATTGAAAACAGATATTATTGAAAACAGATATTGACAATTATTGAAAACAGATATTGGAATTTATATTTATCTCAATTTTTTTTTAATTCAAATCATCACTGTTTCTAGATGAAGTGATACCAGTGCAACCAGATAAGATCAAAGATCTTACCGAGGAGGATGATGAATGTGAAGTGTATGAGGATGAAGACTTTGTGACTGTCTCATCTAGTCTTGCACTTAGCGTAAGTGAAACTCATTTGTAATTAATCAAATACCTAGTCCCATAACATTTTCTCTTAATATTACATTTCATCTTCCTAGATGCAGAAATTAATCTCTTCTATTCCTTAAAATTGATTATTATTTCTTAATTAAATTTTAAAATTAATTTCTAAAATTTCTAATAAATTTTTTAATTTTCTTTTTTAATATATTTTCTCTAAGTTTATTTTTGTAATTAAATTTTTAAATTTAAATCACGGTACTTATTTACTTTATAGGATAAATCCAGCAAAATGTCAGATCTCACCGAGGCAACTCCCCTAAGTTCACCAAACACAGACGATTCTACTGGAAACGATATGGACGATTTAATGCTTAACGATGATGGTGCCACTCGAGGCGATATATCTCCTAGAGAAATGGAAAATGGTGAAGGAAGCGGAACAGATTTCACCGATACATTCTTCTATACTTATACATCGGAATTCGAATCAACATTCGAAGGAAGTGGAACCAGTGAAATCACAGAAGAAAACGAATTGTTTACGACAGAATCTGGAATCACGGAAACTGATGTTACCGAGGAGACTGTCGAGGGATCCACCATGGATTCCACTGATGAATCGTCTGTGGAATCGATGACGCAAGAAAGTCTGGCATCTGGACGTGAGTTTATTTAATTTTATTTTTGGAAACGTTGTAGATTAAAGATATTAAAGATATTAAAGTTAAATCGCAATTTTCATATGATTTTTTAATTTCATAATATTATTAAAAACTTATCGTGAATTTGAAACGAATTTAACAATAAGAATTTCATAAAAAATATTTCATTTTAAAAAATATAACAATTATCAATGTAATTTTGCAATATTATTTAATATAGAAACAGATATAACAACCGAATCAGGCGCAACCGAAGCAACAACAGTTTCTTCTGAGAGCGGAGCAACTGAAGCCACATCAATGACAGAATCTATGGAGACTGAAGATACTGGACCGTCAGAATCCACTGAATCAGGTCCAACAACCTTTTCATCGGAAATTGAAAGCACAGTTACGGAACAAGAGATGACTGAAGAATCTGTATCAACAGATATAAAACCTGATGACACAGATAAGACTACAGAAACAAGTGCCACTGAGGAAACTACTGAATCAGGATCCACAGAACCAACAATTTCGACAGAATCAAAAGCGACAGAAGAAAGTACAGAATCTGGAGTTACAACAGAATCTGGAGTCACAACAGAATCTGGAGCCATAGCAGAATCTGAAGCTACAACAGAATTTGGAGCTACAACAGAATCTGGAACTACAATAGAATCTGGAGCTACAACAGAATCTGGAGCTACAACAGAATCTGGAGCTACAACAGAATCTGCAGCTACAACAGAATCTGCAGCTACAACAGAATCTGAAATTACAACAGAATCTGGAGCTACAACAGAATCTATGTCAACTGAAGTTACAGAGTCAACAGAATCTGAAGCTACAACAGAATCTGAAGGTACAACAGAATCTAGAGCCACAACAGAATTTGAAGGTACAACAGAACCTGGAGTCACTACAGAATCTGGAGCAACAACTGAATCAGTATCAACGGAAGTTACTGAATCAACGGAATCTGGAGCGACAACTACAGAATCTGGTCCGACAGAAACTACTGTATCTGGTGAAACTACTGAATCTGGTGCAACAACGACAGAAGGAACGACGATTTCTGGCGAGACTACTGAATCGGCTGAAACTACAGAGTCTGGTACAACTGAGAGTGGTGAAACAACTGTTTCTGGAGTGACAGAGTCAACCGTTTCCGGATTGACACCGGTTACTGATGAAGAAGAGATCGAAGTAACTGAGAAAACACACGTAACTGAATTCTGGACAACACTCGCTCCGGAAGAAGTCACACGCAAACATCGCGTTTGCAAGGTGCCTAAGAAGAAAAAGACCTGCAAAACCATGCCGTTTGGTTGCTGTTACGATGGAATTACTGCAGCGCTAGGACCATTCGGCCAAGGATGTCCTATGGCTCAGACTTGCAATGAGACTAAACACGGTTGCTGTCCTGATGGAGTATCACCAGCTATTGGTCCAGAGAACAAAGGCTGTCCTGAATCTCTCTGCGATGAAACATTGTTCGGTTGTTGTCCAGATGGAATTACCGCTGCTGAAGGCAATGATTTCGAAGGATGCAAGAAACTTTGCAACGAGACAGAATTTGGATGCTGTCCGGATAACGAGACACCCGCTAGTGGAGAAAATAACATGGGATGTTGCAATAACACTAAATTCGGTTGTTGTCCTGATGGAATAAAACCTGCTTCTGGACCGGACAGTGAAGGTTGCGAGGAGGAGATCACTTCTATCACTCCACTTACTGAAGAATATGAAACAACTACTGTGCAGGAAGATTGTTCGAATTCCACCTATGGATGTTGTCCGGATGGTATTTCCACTGCAATTGGCGCCAATTTTGAGGGATGTGGTATTATTAATGCGGAGAACTGTACTATATCGTACTTTGGATGTTGTCCCGATGGAGTATCACCAGGTTCGTAATTTTCTAAGATAAAATATTATAATATATCAAAATATTTTCTAATATTTATTATAAAATAAATTCTATGAGTATCTATTTTTACTCAATATTATTTTATATTTTTAAATTGAAAAATATAATTATTCCAATTTCTTTAATTTATTAAAATCTTCAATATTTAATGTTCATCAGCTCTTGGGCCCAATAATTATGGATGCCATATGCCCTGTGAGAATAGCAGTTATGGTTGCTGTGAAGATGGTGTTACTCCTGCACATGGTCCCAATAGAGAGGGTTGTTGTCTATCAACACAATACAAATGTTGTCCGGATAACATACTTCCTGCTCGTGGTCCTGATTTCTATGGCTGTGGATGTCAATACATGAGATTCGGGTGTTGTCCCGATAATAGTACCGCTGCTCGTGGACCGAATAACGAGGGTTGCGGATGCAAATACACGCCCCATGGTTGCTGTCCAAATCGTTTTACGCCAGCCACAGGACCGAATTACGATGGTTGTCCATGTTACACATATCAATTTGGTTGTTGTTCCGATGGTGTCACCATTGCAAAAGGACCCCATGGACAAGGTAATTGTATAAAATTAAAATTAAAATTAATATTAATTTTGGTCAAAGCTTGGTAGAATTTTGAAAATGTATCGAAAATGTTTCATATATTATGCACCAAGTAACGAAGAATATTGAACTTTTATTTAGCTTTTAATAATATGATAAATAATATTATGATAATCCATATTGATCATATCATTATAATATTAGATATATTTTAAAATAAAATCTTTTATAAAAATGTTTTATTAAATTGATAAAAATTAAATACATACTGAAATGATTATTAATTTTATTAATTTATATTAATAATCAAAAAGTAAACAAAATATAAATAAAAATTGAAATGGAAAATAATATAATCAAACAAATTTAAGTAAGTATATCATTTAATATCCATATTCACTAATGTGTAAGTTGATACTTACATACATCATATAGCAAAGCAACTTTTAATTTATAATTAACGGCATATTCCTTATGGGAATTTGCAGGCTGCGGTTGCGAGAATACGGAATTCAAATGCTGCTCAGATGGAAGAACACCAGCAAAGGGCCCGAACTTTGCCGGATGCACTTGCGATGCCTCCAAATATGGATGTTGTCCTGATGGCGTGGAAGAAGCTCAAGGAGAGAATTTCGAGGGATGTCTCTCAGTTCCATCCACTCCTGGAGCGGCTTGCGCATTGGAAAGAGATAGAGGACCATGTCGAGACTTCACTGTTAAATGGTATTTTGACACAGAATATGGTGGATGCTCAAGATTTTGGTATGGAGGCTGCGAAGGTAACGACAATCGATTCAAGACTCAGGAAGAATGCAAGGAAGTGTGTGTGCAGCCTAAAGGAAAAGGTAGTATAAATAAAACATGAATATTTAATTGTTTCAAAAATTTATAGAGTTTTTTATAATTAATATTATTTTATTTTCAATATTATTTTGATATTCAAATTATATTTTAGTAATTGATGTATTTTTTTTAGTAATTTTCTTTATTAGGTAACGAAATCTGAATTTCCTTTTCTTTTTTAAATTTTTAATTTTTTAATTGTAAGACATAATGAAATTTAATTTTTGGAATTATGTCGTAGATGCCTGTTTCTTACCAAAGATTTCTGGGCCTTGTGAAGGCTATTTCCCTACATGGTATTACGATTCTGGCAGAAAGCAGTGTGGTCAGTTTGTCTATGGTGGATGCCTTGGTAATGCGAATAAATTTAAAACCAGAGAAGAATGCGAGGAACTTTGTGTCACTCCTGATGATCTGGGTAAATTAATCAACTTTTTATTACTTTCAATATTTTTTATTATTTAATTATTCTGAAATTAATTGCAGAGTTTTCGCTTTACTTTATTCAATGGAATATTTTGTCTATTTTCTGACTAAATTTTTATATTAAATAAAATTTATAAATAAAATTTTTAAATTTATAAAATATTTTTGATAATATTATAATTGATAAAAATTTATAATTGATAAAATTTTTTTCAATTTATTTATATGTTCTTCATATGAAGTTTGTGATTTTGATTTTGTGATTTATGATTTTGTATGATTTTGTATGAATATCAATTTTGTTGTGATAGTAAAGTATAATGAGATATAATTTAAATTTCTTGAAAAAATTTAGATTAAATTATAATACCAATATTAATCTTCATTTTTTATTATATTTCATTAGATCCTTGCGACCAAACGAAAGAATCAGGTCCCTGCGAGGGCAACTTTACCAGGTGGTACTTCAATGCAGAATCACAAGGTTGCGAGCAATTCCTGTACGGTGGATGCAAAGGAAATGATAATAACTTCCCAACGGAAATCGCTTGTCATCAACAATGCTTGCAACCAGGAAGGAGACGAGGTATGTTCATCCATTTCAATTTCTTTCATTCGACATCCGCACGTATCACGCTCGTTTTTCTGCCTGAAACCATATTTTTATTATATAATAATATATTAATTATTTAATATATTATTTGTTTTTACTAGATATATTTAATAGTGTTTCAGATTATTTTTCTTCGTAAACGAATCGAAATATGTGGCAATTTTTTTTGTCAATTTGTCTTTTGTTTTCATTTTTAAGCGATTTTTCTTGCAGTTGATATTTTGTTATCAAACACGAGAAGGATATGATGGAGATCGTAAAAATTGTTTTAATCATTTTTGAGGAAAATCAATCTGCATGTAATTATTTTTTTCACGTACAATAAATTGAATTTTTCTTGATTATTGATAAAATTGTTAACAATGAAGGATCGATGAAAAAAGAAAAAAAAAAAAGAATAATCAAAACTAAATCGCCAGAAAAAGAATTCGATTAAATTGAAATGTTTATTAAAATTTTAAAATTTCCATTAATAATATCATGAATAATTTTTATTTATTTATTAAAATATGATTTAAACGTATATTTCTTATTTACAAAGAATGCAGAAGATACTAAAACAACGCATAACAACAAAACTTAAAAAAAATAATATATTAAAGAAGAAATCATGTAATAATGTACAAATATAATATTTTCCAATTCTGGCGACTTAGTATCTTTGCAAATATCATTTCAATCAGAATCTTCACTTTCAATTACATTAAACATGATATATCAGCAAACATAATTCAGGCATCAAACGCCATATCCAAGCACCAAAAATTGGCACTGATCATCAGATATCAAATATAACGAAATAATCCCTAAGTAATCGTAGAAAATACATACTATTTACAGTAAAACTGACAGACGTATGCCGCTTGGAGAAAGATCCCGGCCCTTGTCCGGGCTCTGTGTTACGCTGGTATTATGACGCCGGGCGTCAGACGTGTAACCAATTTGTTTACGGCGGTTGTAAAGGCAATACGAATAGATTCCATACGCGTGCTGCCTGTGAGCAGCGCTGCCCTGTAAAAGGTATTAGAAAAAGTCAAAAAAGGCAAAAGAAAAAAAAAAGGAAAAGAAAATGAATAGAACATGGAAAATAGCAAAGAAAGGAATTAAAGGAAGGAATTGAAGAAACAAAAGCTTATCTGCTTTTTGAATAATTGAATCGCTCGCAATTTGTAGAAAAAGAAAAAAAGAGAGAGTAATTTCTTATTCGTGGGTGTTGGTGGAACGATTGGACATCGTTTTAATCGAGAAACAATTCTTATTGTTGTCGTTGGTGTTGGTTCGTTTGTTATTATATATCTCTATTTTTTGGCATAAAGCAGAATTGGGCACATCAAACTTATGTATATTTAATTTGTTGTTTGCTATGTTATATTATTTTAAATAATTTTACTTAAAAAATAATTTATACAATGTAAAAATAATATCCTTCAAATGGCAAAATCTAATTTATGTTACTTTTAAAAAAGCACATATCAGGATTTATTATTTAAAAATGTAAAAATATATTTAAGAATAAAATTTTTAAGAGTATTTTTTACAAATGAATATTGTGTTGTGAGTGATTATCCAATAATAATTTTCATTTTCAAATGGATTATCAGTCTAATTACAGAATTATTCTTCAAAAATTTTCATTTATTGATACTTTAACTTTTTGAAAGATAAAATTTTTAATTTTTAACTTTATATTATTATTGAAAATTATTAAATACTTACAATTTTTTGAGATTTATTTCTACTTTTTTTTATATATTCATCCTGAATAGAAAGTGCCCAATTCTATCACAAAACAAACAAAGCACGTTTAATGAAAGCACTGTTAATTTGATAGATCTCGTTCTATACACAATTATTTCTATCTCACGATTAATTGTAATCAATCGTTATCACGCATTATTTTTTAATCGTGTATTATTCACAATAAAAAGCACTCTTTTTGTCGGAATTGCACGCTTGCACCATTGCACGAACGATAAATTGATCGAATCGATAGTTCGACTTTATCTTTCGAGAAGCGATTCTCGTTTCGAGAATAATCATTCTATGGCTTTTATCGCCTAAACGAGTTTTTTCGATTTTTCTCGATTTTTCTCGATTTTTCTCAATTTTTCTCGATTTTTCTCGATTTTAGTGTTCAGTGAATAATTGCGTCGATATTTATTGTTAAGAAAAAAAAGAAATAGATTTTAATTTCTCTTTTGATTTATAATTTTTAACAATTTAACGTGAATATTCAGTATTTAAATACAAATTTTCTATAGTAGAAAGTAAAAATTGAAAGAAAAAACATTTTCATTTTCAGGAATTTGAAGAATATGTATTTCCAAAGAGTATGGCAATTAATCAATCATTTGCTGTTTACTTTAAATCAATAATTTTTAATCATTGATTTACATAAAAATTGAAATAATGATTTCAATTGAGAAGTATGTATTACAAATATATTTCCAAAATTTCAATATTATATGTCTGTAAGGAAAGAAAAATTAATATAATTTATTAATTCTATGATTGAGAAAAATATAAATTGAAGTAAATGACAAATGAAATGGTTAATGAAATCTACACGAGAATCCCATATTGCATGATATAATAATTAATGCGATTAACAGATAGTTGCTTGCTGCCGCGAGCCGAAGGTAATTGTGGTGAGAAGCAATCTCGATGGTACTTTGATCAATCGGAGAATCGGTGCATGCCATTCTATTATACTGGTTGCGGTGGGAATAAAAATAATTTCGAATCTAGGGACGCATGCGAATCTGATTGCCCGGCTAAAGTTGGTAAGATTTTGTCTAATCACTTTCTTAAAAAAAATAAAATAAAATAAAATAAAATAAAATAGAAAGCATCACACTACCTTTATCTTTATATTTCTGTAACAAGATTTATCGATGCTTAATGCTCATTAACGCTTTTCTTAGCAGTTTTGTTCGATTATTATCGGCGTTTCTTTCTTGTGTAATTATCTTCAATGTCGATTGTATCATATGCACGCAAATTTTATTATGAATTATCATCGAATGTACGTCTTTTGCAAATAAAAAGATGTTTTTAATAAATATATATAGATATATACATCATATATTTTTGCTATAAATTTATTATATGTTATATATTGCTTTATTTGTTACAAAACATGAAATAAAAAGTCCTATGAATTAAAAAAAAAAGAAATATAATTTTTTTAAGCAATTTTGTTAAATGATTAATTAAAAAAAAATTAGAGATAATTTTAATTTTGTTAAATTTAATAAAACATTTTGAATGGATTTTATAGAACTTTTTATTTCTTTATATTATCTTATCTATATCTTATATTATTGTAAATTTAAATGCAGAGCAAGATACCTGTCTCTTGCCCGCACTTTTGGGAGAATGCCACAACTATACTCAACGATGGTACTACGATTCCTACGAACAGCAATGTAGACAATTCTATTATGGTGGTTGCGGTGGAAACGAAAATAATTTTGTCACCGAACAAGATTGCATTAACAGATGTCAGACTACGATTACTACCCCTGCGCCAGTAAGAGAAATCGAATTTAAACCAGGTAATATTTTTATCTTTATCATGAATTTAATTTGAATTTCACTTAATATGAAAAAAACTTAAATGATTTCATATCTTATATATTATTATATATAAAACTGTTAATTATTAAAAATAATTGAATTATAGAAATGAAAGATTAAAACAAATTTTAATATGAATTAAAAAAAAAATATGAAAAATAAAATTTTCAGAATTCTGCTTCCTTCCGGATTCTCATGGTCCGTGTTCTGATGAACAAATCAAATGGTTTTATGACAGTAGAGAAGGTGTTTGCAAGCAGTTCAGATATGGGGGCTGCCAAAGCAATGGAAATAACTTTAATAGTCGCGAAGAATGCGAATATAGATGTGGAGACGTTCAAGGTAATTGGGATGGACAGTTGTAATTTTAACTGAATATTTAAGCATTCTTATTACACATTTTCATTAAAAATCATATCAACAATTACTCCAACTATTTTTTATTTTTTTTTCTTTAGATGCTTGCAGTCTGCCCAAAGTTGTTGGTCCCTGTAGCGGTTTTGTCAAACAATACTATTATGATTACCGAGCAGATTCTTGTTACGAATTTGAATATAGTGGTTGTCAGGGTAACAAGAATCGCTTTCAGGATAAAGAATCCTGCGAAAAAAGATGCCAGAAACAAGTTGTTCAAACGGAAACAACGCCAAATGTTACTGTTACACTTGCTCCATCACTTGAAACTGTTTCGAAAAGCCCGATTTGTTATACTCCTGTTGATCCTGGTTCTTGCAATAGTGATATCACAGCTTTTTATTACGATTCACACAATCAGATGTGTCAAGCATTTCTTTATGGCGGTTGTGAAGGAAATGCGAATAGATTCCAAACAGAAGAACAGTGTGAACGTCTTTGCGGAAAGTTTCATGGACAAGGTATATTTAAGAAATCTTTAAAATTTTTAATCATTATATCTCATTTTATAGTTTTATAATTTTTTAATATTAGAACTATTAATTATATCTCAATGTATGTATTGTGTAATGTACAAATAATTGAAGTCAAAGTATTATGAAATAATTGAATATAACTATGTTTGTGTAACTATGTTTCTAATTGAATAAAATTATAAAATTAATATAAATATAATTATAAAAAACATGTTTTTTGGAAATTTTTGGAACAATTTATAATTTATAAAAGAATTTTTACTTTTATTTTTGTAATCAACTTTATAATAATTTAATAATTTTCATAGATACGTGTAACTTACCGCCGGATTCTGGTGAATGCCGAGGTTACTTCCAAAAATATTACTATGACTCGGTCAACCGCATATGTCGCGAATTTTCATACGGTGGATGCGAAGGTAATGCGAACAGGTTTAGTTCAATGGCTGAATGTGAATCTGTTTGCATTCATCATGAGGAACCCGTGTTTCCTGGAAACGACAGCCTTTCAAGCTTGTGTAAGTATTAGATTCATTAATCTCAAATTTCTATTAAAAAATACCAAATAAAATTTGAGAAGAAATGTTATTCGAAAAAGAAATTGATATTTCGAAAAAGAATTTCGTAATGACAATAATGAGTTTTAAACGATAATGATTCAGCAAGTTGTAAAGAACCAGTTGATGTTGGGTCTTGCACTTCTGGTGCTACCAAACGATTCTATTTCGACGATGAAGAACAAACCTGTCGAGCGTTTATTTATACTGGATGCGGTGGAAATCGTAACAGATTCAAGACCTTTGAGTCTTGTATTAGTACTTGCCTTAGCAGTAAGTCGTGAAAATCTGTTTTCCACTATTTGAATAATATATTTTTGTAAATATTTTTAACTTTCAGCTTGGAACGTGATAAATATCTTTACGTTTTATATTGCTGTTTATTTTTATTGTTGTTTTATATTATTTTGTTTCAAATGTTGAATCCTTATGTATCCTTTTCCTTTTTTATTTATCTGCTTTTTATTTGTATTTTTATATATGTTTTTTATTTGTATTTTTATATTTTAATTTTTTTTATTTTTTTTATTATGTTATATTTATTTTTTTTATATATGTTATATTTAATGATATATTCTACCAGCTCTAATTATTCCTAAGCTTCAATCCTGCTAGAAGCAAAAATATAATTTTGCTTTTATCATATATTATAATTTTTTTATTATTCTTTTATTTTATATTTATTCACTTTATATTATTTATATTTATTCACTTCATTTTTCATGTTTTTCTATTTCAAAAGTATTACATTCTTTGTTATATAATTATATTATATATTTTAATAGCTACTAACGAGATCGACGTAGATTCCGGAAAGGATACAAAGGATCCTTGCACCGAAGCACGCGAAGAATGTCAGACTATCCGTTGCCCGTATGGCAAAGAGGCGTTCGTGGACTCTCAGGATTGCGAACGATGTCGTTGCGTTGATCCTTGTAGAACACAAATTTGTCCCGATAACACAAAATGTGCCATTACCTTAGTTGCTACCAAAGATGGTACAGAATACAAAGGAGTATGTAGATCAGGTAGCTATAAAATTAAATTTTTATTATTATTTATGTTATATTCAATTATTCTATATTTTTGAATAAAATATTTCAATTACCTTCTTTAGTGATTTTAATTCTAATTATAAAATATCTTTTGATAATTTTAAAAAATGCTAAATAAATTATAATGCTATATAGATATAATGCTATATAGATTTATAAAATATTTATTGATTTATTAATTTTGACCTAGAACAAAAAATACTTATTAAAAAATCCTTTCAATATTAATTTCAATAATACAATCTTAATAATTAAATTAATAATTACTTTTAAATAGTTTAATATCTATTATTTCACAGTTATGAAACCAGGCCGTTGTCCAAGTATATCGAATAGTACTAGATGCGAACAAGAATGTCTCACGGATGCAGATTGTTCTGGAGATATGAAATGTTGTAATAATGGTTGTGGTGCTTCTTGTCTCGAACCAGCCACCGAAGAAGTTATATTGACTTCTCCAAGACCGTTCGTTACTGCACCTGCAGTTGGTGCTGAAGCAGCTTCCATCAAACAACCAGAGGAACCAAAAGTCAATGCTCAGGAAGGTAGTTACATAACATTGAAGTGCATTACTTTAGGAAATCCAAGACCAATGATCACATGGAGAAAAGGCACAACCTTGGTGAGATTCCTTGATTTTTCTGAAATTAAAAAATTAAAAATTAATTAATAATTTTGTAAATTAATCAATCAAAATATATTTTAATATAATTACAAATGTACAAATTAAAAAGTTATGAAAATTAATTTATTATAAATTATCGTACAAGGTATTATGATAATAACAGAAATTAAAATTTCGCCAGATTGCACCTTCAGAAGCCAGACGTCGCATATTATCCGATGGCTCTCTTCAAATTATTAATTTAGATCGATACGATGGTGGAACTTATGTCTGCACAGCTGACAATGGCTTAGGCCCACCGGTAAGAGCAGAATACCAATTGACTGTCACAGGTACGTACCATACATTAAATATTATTATAAAATACTGTCTTGTAAAGTATTTTGTGGACATGTCATGCATCTTAAATAGTAGTTGATCGTTCTAATTAAGTAATTTAATATATGAATGTGTTTTGTCTTGTGTTTAATATTTATATTTATAAAAAAATTAATAATAATATCTCTTCATTTTAAATGTTCTCTTTGCAAATGATTTCACATAGATTTTTTAATAGATTGCAGATTTTTATATAAATTTATATTTTTATAAACAATAGATTATATCTAATTTTCTAAATATTGTCACATGTATTTTATTTTCTATACTATTTCTATATTTATGCTCATTCTTATATATATTTTTGTATATCTATTTTTAAATAACAGCTAAGCTGTTAAAAATTATTTAAAGAGACACGTAATAAATATCAAAAATATTTTCATTATAAATTCATTTCTATTTCATAAAATATTTCTCATAAGAACAATTATACTTCCCCTAATAATTTGGTGATGGTATCCAACTTTTCTCTCTTCTGCATGCTGCCTTGACCTTATACAGAACCGAAAGAACTAGCTGCAGCCATTGTCGGAGAGCCTGATGCACGTGTGACAGTTGCCATAAACTCTCCCATATCTCTGCACTGCTACGCATGGGGTTGGCCCAGACCTTTCGTCACTTGGTGGCGAGGCGAACGCATGTTGCCACTTGCTTCGGAGATTTACGAACAGGATTCTGAATACACCCTTTTGATTAGAACAGTCACTATACAAACTCTAGGTGTTTATACCTGTCAAGCATTTAACGCAATTGGCAGAGCTGCATCTTGGTCGATCACATTGCAAGCTATCGGTCCAGTATATAATGTCAAGCCCGAGTTCGAACAATATATGAAATACCTGATTGATGCTCCTAGAAAAGCAGAGAAACCTACATATCCTTATAGACCCGATAGAACCCAAATTCCTGACTATCGTCAGATTTATGGAGCTAGTAATACAACTAGACAGAGTCAAATTTCTACGGTCAATCCTATTGGATGGACTACTCCGGAGTACGGTTTGAGGTTTAGAGGTGAGGGTGATACATGGTGATGGTTTTTTTTTTAATTTTGCAATTGCACTTTAATTAAAAGATAAATATAAAACATGTAATAATAAAGATGAAAAATTTTCAAAGATTTTGAATTTTTTTTGCTATTTTTAATTAATTTTTAACTGGTGAATTATAGTTCGAGATAGATTAGAAATTGTTTGTAAACAATTTGGAATTTTAAATTTAATATAAAAATGTTAATATAAAATAATATAATATATAATATGGAAAAAATATAGAAATAAAATATAGAAATTTCAAACTTTATCTCTAGAAATTATAGTGCAATTGAATTTCTCTTCTTCTTTTTAACATTTATATTAACTAATGCTTTAATATGCTTCGATCGCATTATGTGCTCTGTTGAGTTGTTCAATTTGCTTGCACGTTATATACAAAATTAATATATGATTATCAATCAATCTAAAAAATCAAAAAAAACGGTAAGTTTACATTCATATTTATAATTTATGTATTAAACTTACATATTTTTCTCTTTTTTTTTTCTTTTTTTCCTGGATGTCGTTTGCAGATATTTTATTGATGATATTGATTACTTCACAGTGCCTGTCACAGCCAATATAACGATAGGACAAAATCAGTTCCCAGAGGGTAGTGATGTTAATATCGCTTGCCATGTCGATGGTTATCCGATTCCTCGAGTATCTTGGTATAAGGATAATGAGATAATTCATCCGAACAATCGAATTCAAATTACTGGTAAACATATGTTTTAAATAATTAAGCATATGTAATTAAATAATTAACTTAAAAATTAGAAATAAACGAAAGAGATATTTAAAAAACTTTTTCTAATTCTAATTTTAGAAGTGAACAGACTCGTAATCAGCGATGCGAATCGGGAAGATTCAGGAAGATATCGTTGCGAAGCGAGTAATGATTATTCGTCTGCTTCTGCTATGGTGGATATACAAGTTGCTGGTAAATTTTTATATTTAATATAAAATTAATTTATTAGAAAATAGAATATTAAACTCTATAAAGTTTATAGAAATTATTAATCATTTTAATATTTTGATTGATAATGCAAAATTAAATCTATTAAAATCTGAATACATAAAATCATTTTTAAATAAAAAAGAATAATTATTTAATAATATTAATTAATTAATAATAATAAATAATTTATAAATAAAAATATAAGAAATTGTTTTAAAATTCTTGTTAAAATGTTCATCTTTTCTCAGGAATCTTCATTCACCCGAACTGTCAAGATAATTCATTCTTCGCTAAGTGCGACTTGATCGTTAAAGCAAGGTATTGCACACATAAATACTATGCGAAGTTCTGCTGTCGATCTTGTACCGAGGCTGGTCAACTTCCCTCCAGAGGTCCTCACTTAAATAACTCGAAAAGAAGGCGAAGATACATTCTGAAGAGCCTTGTCTAAGAATCCTTCTTCGATTTCTTCCGGTTAGCCCGACGAACAAAGCAAAGAACAGCAGTTACGATCAGATATCGGCTCTTAATGCATAATTTCGATTATTAATTATAGATATAAATGAAAGAAACGATGACGAGATTTAAAAGTGATCATTCGATTCGACACATTTGTCTGTCTTGATGGTGTGCCGTGTAAACGTGACGTTAATTCACTGCCAAAGCCTTAGAACGTCTATACATAGATACATTTAATATATAAATTAAGCAACAGCGAGGCGGGAGAACGTGAAGATGAGTCGCATAACGAGATAATAATGTAATGATTCTTTTTTCGTTGATGTTTTAATTATATTCCTCCGTATATCTTTGTTTCAAAGTCGTCATCGTCGTTGTCGTTTTATGTATGTATATACGATCTGACGCTGGAATCCTAGTCGATCGAAGCCATATTAGGACAGAAATGATCGCTGTCCATCAGAAAGCGTCTCGAGATTGGATACCCGATCGATGCTATTTTGCTTTTCTTTTCCTTTTCCTTTCCGTTCGAATCGCGTTTGAATTGTTGGATATCTAGTTGTGAGAGTTATACGAGAATCATATGATGAAATATAATAATTAAAAACTGGAATATTTGATAAAAATATCGTTAAGAAAAAAATTTATTGAGAAGAAAATAAAATAGCTCTTTAATTTAAAGTAAACTTGTTAATTTTTAAATTATTATAAATTGTTGTGTTATAAAAATCTTTTGCAATGATGATATATTTTTTTGAATTTTAATTAATTGAATTAAATTATCTATGAAGAAAAGAAATAATCAAATTATTCCAGAAATTAAGTATGATGGATCCACACAATGATGAGATCTATCGATCAATTTGTAAATGTAACATGAACGATATATAAAAATTTAATCGTGTTAGGGGAACAAAAGGATAAGTCAAAAGTCAATATGTAATTTTTCTTTTTTTTTTTTTTTTGTGTGATCGAAACAAAAGAGAGAGGCGATAGAGAATGGAAGTAGGAGAGGGAACCTGTACCTATTTGTATGAAGTATATACGTATAAGTATGAAACGTTACGTTGTATAATATAAATAGTTTATTATGCAGTATGCCATTTATATACTCTATAATATTGTTATTACTTATTCCTTATTCGATATTATTGCCATAGCATGAATTAGTCCTTTGTCACGATTGAACGATACTTATATCATAGCGACGATTGGTAATGTGAAGGTGCAACATCGTGACGACGATCTTGATTTGTCAAATGAATTATAACAAATGAAAAAATTAACTAGACTGGAGATAAAATTGATTAGATAAAATATTGAAACTTTCTATGTTTCTATTTTGTTTCTCTTTATTTTTATAATTTTATTCAATTCTATTTCGATAATTGTATAATAAGTTAACTAAATGTTGCAATTATAAAAATCTAAAATTATAATTTTAGAGAATTTTATTTGCAAAGCTTGTTAAAAAAAATTAACTCATTGGAAGTTGAATAATAATGTACAAGTATTGAATCACGATACGCACCTTCTTTCACTATATTAACATGTTGCATTTATATATTTGTTCCTGAACATTTTAATCGTAATGTTAACTACATACTGTTACTATATACTGTATCATCTATCGTGATTTCTTGGCATTCGAAAATGAGAGCATACATTATATATTTTTTTAATATTAATTTAAAACTTATCAAAGTTTCACAATTTTTTCAAATATTCATTTTATATAAAATAATATATTTCTTCCTTGTTTAATATATTATTTCACAAAAAAAATGTGAAATTTAATCAGATATATAACATTTTCTTTCCATATTTCAAATGAAGGATCACAATTATTAAAAATATAGATGAGATAGAATTAAGATAATTAAGAAGTAATTTATGCTTTTAATTTCGAATTGCCACAGAAATATCAGTAGCTCGTAGCGTATCAAAATTCCGAAGGAAAAGGTACCAAAAGCATTTATAATTATACATAATATATATATATTATTATACATATATTGTAAATGTAAGTTTTACTCGATGATGGAAAGAATCCACGGAACCGTAGGAAAAGACATTCTTCTTTCGTCTGATTGTTTCAGTCACAGTGCCTTATTAGAAAGCTCTTCGAAAGTGTCGGGGAAGGAGTGCTAAATAGAACTTTACATACAGAATATCGTTAGTGTAAATACAAAATGTAGTGTACGCGATGCAAAATGAATTGAATTTCAATCAGAAATTTATTGAATAGTCACTAAAACGATATTAGATGATCGTACCAAAGTATCAAATAAGAATTCCTCCGATTTTTATATTTCCTTATCTAGATCAAGATTATTGTATTTCTTTTTAATTGTATGTTAATTACATAGAATCTATGAAGTTGTAAGATAAAATTGTAAAATTGCGACAATCACAGTATTTCTTTAGAAAAAAAAGAAGAAAAAGAAAAAGAAAAGCACATGTCGAGACTTTGATAAACAAATTTTTTTATTTTAACGAAAATATAATAGTCATTTGTGATGCATTTGATTGTTTCTTTGATTTATCAGGAGGAATCGTAGAAAAGAAGAAAAAAAGGAAAGAAAGAAGGAAGAATGAAAGAATATTGAGTACTCTTCTCCTCCGTACTCCTTTAGATATGACCAAACTAGACATGACATGATTGTAATAACTAGACTCTGGATATTTATGTATTCATTAAAATTTTAATATAATAGATATATATTTGAAAATATAAAATAGGATTTTTAAGTATGTGCTATCTATAGATTTATCCTTTTTTCGCTTTAAATTTAAATATTTTTATATTATGACAATGTTATAAAAATCTTATCTAAAAAGTTTCATATAATTTAATTTGAACATTAGAGATATTATTTTATGATTAATTTAATATTACTGTATTTCATACACAAAATTTTCATTTTTTTTAAACACAATTAATTTACACACTTTTATGAAAATATGAATTTGCATAAAAATCCTCAGTCTAGTGATAACGTAGTAACACAATATTATTTAGTACATGTATAAATAGTTCTTGTAGTTTTTAACGGGCATGTATGTACCTATGCACTGATTGCATATCGGTAAAAGTAAAAAAGGAAAAAAAAAAAAGTAACATAGAAAGAATGTATCATCTTTGTTACGAGAAATAATATCGAATCTAAAAGAAAGAGAAAGAAAAAAAAGAATACTCGAGTGAGCGCAGTTTCGGTAGATTTTCTCTATTCTATAGTATTCTATAGTAAATAATTTATATTTCTACCGTGTGATTTTTAAGTCTGTACAATGGCCACACATATACACACGTACACGCACGCATTCATTTACACGTTACACATTAATGATGTATATAATTATCGCTATATTACGTAATATACTCGTTTTAATCGACCTATTATCGGCTACTGGATACTCCTCTTAAAGATATTTTGTAGAAATGATCGTGACAGTTGATTCATTGATTTTTTGATCGATTTTATAGTAAAAATCGATGCGTTTTTGTAACTTGTGAAAGTAGTTTTTCGATAATAATAATATTATCCTATAGTGATGTTTAGAATGGCTATGATAGCTGTAACGATTTTATAATCAAAAGATTTAAGATAATGTAATGCAGCGTTCTTAATTAATTTTAATTAATTTTAATTAATATCACGTAAAACTTTGTGAAACTTCTAGTTTAGGGAATATATTACAAAAGTAGGATGTCTTTCAATATTAATCATTTTTAAATTTATTATTTTTTTAATTTTATATTTCTGAGAGAAAACAACATCAGAAAGTTTCTCTTGTTTTTATATAAAATAAAGTTAAGATAGAGCATGGAACGTACCTCGCGTAGAATCAACAGAAATTTTTTCGAAATTTTTAGTTCTAACATTCTTATATAAAGTTAAAAACAAGAGAGAGAAATTTTTAAACGAATCAACTTCCTTCACGATTGTTCCTACGAATACACCGACAAAGGATTTGAAACGTAGTTACGTGAAAATGGTAAATAACTAAATTAACCAAAAGAAAAAAAAGGAATGGAGAAATATCAGAGAAAAATATTCTCCAATGTATTATCTATACATGCGATATAGCTCACACATCGCGACAGTGCTGAAGATTTTAGTGAGTGTATTTGTAACTGTAAGTTATACCTTTAGATAATGATTTAATATAATATAAATATATAATTATATAAAATAAAGGTAGATTTAAAGGAATGCCACTATACAAACATTGTATGGACAATAATAATATAAGATCCTTAAAATATATGATTAAATAATGATCAGTATGATTATTATTCTTTTATCAAGAAGTTTTATTACATTCAATTATTTTTTTCTAGCAATCTTAAATCTTTCTAACAATTATTCTAATATTTTATTATTATTATATCATTAATTTAATAATCAAACATATTATTAATTATTAATTTAACTATTAAATCTAATTAATTTAACTACATTTATTTATTACTATATTTCTTTTTCACAAATGTGGCATGTCTTTTTTATCCTCAACGCGAGCAGTATCTCGCATAAGATAACGCTTATGCTGTTCCTCGATCACTACAGCCCTTTCGATCCTTTCTGTCGCAATACTTTCAATAGTTGCAAACAATTCTGAATGTACGGCAATACATTTTCGAAAATCTTTGCGATTTAAACGATATACTTCGCATACTTCAATTGCAATCACGCTTGCAACTCTTCTCTGATCGGGAACCAAAAGTGCTATTTCTCCGAAATGTGCTCCATCGTCCAAGTGACATATCTAGATCAAATTGAAACCTTAAAAATTTTGAAAAATATCCTTCTCTTTTAAAATATAAGAATCCAATTATTTCAAATAAAATGTTAAATGTTTCAGATATTAAATGTTCATTATTTAATTTTAATTTTTTAAAAAAAGTAAAACAATAAATTAAAATGAATTGTTAATAATTAATCCAGAAGATAGAAAATTCCTAGAATCTTTCAAATCAATGTGTTATTCCAACCCCAAAATATATTTAACTATTTCTTCAAAAAAAAATTTTTCTTTAATAATTATTAATTTCTTGATAATTTTCCTTAATAATTAGTAAATGATAGTGAGAAGTCTATCCTTTAAAATGCATTTTGTTTCAAATTGATATCTCAACTCGTTTTAAAAATATAGCGATATAAAACGACATGTCCGAATTGTGGAAAATTATGAATGAGAGAAATCCACGTGACCACATGACCTATTTACTCGCGCGTACGCGCGTAGTAAAAAAACTTGCTTACTCATCGTACGTGACCAGCGCACATGAGGTAGGTCAGTGGACGCACGTGCGAGCAAGAGGTCCGAGTGTGCAAGAAGGATAGCGATAGCGAAATTATCGTCTATTTTAAACGGATATATCTTGAAAACGAAAAATGATAGGAAGAAAAATGAAAAAGCGTTTAAAAAAAGAAGATTCCGTCTTTCTGATGTACTAAGAAAAACTAAACTCGGAATAATAGAAATATTTTTATTTAAAAAGAATTATAAGCATTTGAAACGAGACTATAATTTTATTAATTCTATAATAACAATGAAGATATTTTCTTATTGATACGTATAAGATTCGATTAGGAAATAATTAGAATAATTATCTTTGGAAGAAAAGATTAATGATTTGAAATAAAAATTTAAATAAAAATTTAATGTATCAAGTTATAAAAAATTGAAGTTTAGAATTGATTTTTGATCGAATAATGTTTTAAGATAATACCTCTTTTCCAGTGGGTGTTAACACAGCAACGGTCCCAGCAGACAGAAAGAACATACAATCACCATGGGCACCTGCTTTCACGATCACATCGTTTGGTAGATAAAGCTCGAATTTCAAATTCTTCACGATGTTACGCAAAATAGGTTTGGGTAAATTTCTGAACATCGATACATTTTCGACTAAGCGATGGCATGATTCAAGTGCAATTTCTTGACGTAAATGTTCTGAATCGAAATGAAATATTAATCACCGGGGGGAAAATATAGAGAATCGTAAAATTAAAGATGTCGTTACCTGATAAAGTGAGCATAATAGTTTTCTCACGAAAGTAATTTTTCCTGAAACGATGATAGTAATAAGCTTCGAGACGAATCTTTATGTGTTTCGGCAATTGTTTTTGGTTTACATAAGCAAACAGTTGATTTATTATCTCTTGAAACTTCGACGTGGATTCTTTTATTCCCATTCTTACACGAATGATCATTACTGAAATAAAAATTTAAAATATTAATTTATATTTATTTTTATCAACTTTTAATTCATTCAGTAAAATGTTATTTTCGATAGGGAAATAAACAAATAAACAAAAAGCTTTAAGATTTAATATTAAAATCTATTGAAGGAGATTTACCTGCGATATAGAACTCGAGTAGTCTACCGATAAAGAGAAGAATACAATTCAATATTATATGATCAGACGCGTATGGCACCAAATGACCATAACCAGCCCCTGATATTTGATCTACGACTATAAAAAGCGCGCATCGAAATCTGAATGCTTTAGAATTGTTTTTTAATCTTATCATCCAACATTCGGAACAAATCTACGAAATGTAATTTTTGTGATTAGAAATCCTTTAATATGAAAAATTTATAAAGATGATTATATGAAAATTGACACAAAAATAATATACATAAATAAATTTAAAGCAAATATATATATAAGGATATAAGAAGTAATATATGGAATAAAATAAAATATAATATATCATAAACAAAGTATGCTTATTCTATATATTTATTAAAATTTAAGTTTAATCAAAATTTTATCGTTTCTACAATCTTACTTTGGCATTGATTTTACTGAAGTGAAGAGTTAACACTGGTATTAAATAATACAGACACGCGAACCAATATATTATAAAAATTGCCATCATAAGCGTGCTAAACAATTCATAGGCGTAATGCTTGACTTCAAAATGCTAAAATATGAATATATAACAGAAGTATATATAAAGAAGTATATAAGACAGAGATGTATTTATATTGTTTAATTTTTTTCAAATTTAAAAAGAAGAAAAAATACGAATTACGATAAATAATTCAAAGATTTGTGAATCGACATAGCCATAACGAATTAACTTCAGACAAGGAAGGACATTGATCAAAGAAACAAAAAAATAAGTATTATCTTCAGGTAATTTGCGCCAAGGCAAAGTCATATGATCCCATGGTAACGAAGATAGAATATCAAATATCAGGAAAGTTTTTAAATAATGTCTATGGAGATAAAAATTACACTTTATTAAAATATATAAATATTAATAAATTTATTTTTTTTAAATAGTAAAATAATATTATTTTTAAAAAAAGTTTTAGTATGAAAATTGATTAATTTTAAGTTATTGCTTTAAAAGTTATCAGTATTTTCTTTTCTAACGAAATTTTATATATTTAAAAAAAAAAAATTAAAAATAAAATATAAAATATTCTGGGAAAACAATTTCTAGATAATTTTTATCTTCAACTTTAAATTATTCAATTTTCATTCTAAATATTTTCTAATATTGCATTAATATTAAAATTAGTAGTATTTTATAATTTTAATTACAAAAATATCTTCAAAGGTTTCAATTCGACACCCATTTCATATTTATTGTAATATCCAGTAAAACAATTCATTATTATATCGATCCAACAAAAACCGTAAATCAGAAGATTGAATTTATCCAATCCAATATCATCGTGACTCATTATAATAAAACAAACTGAGAATGGAATTGAAACGAATGAAACAATGTATATCACTGTCATTATCAAATCCCAGAAAAATCTAAAAAATTGCTTAAATGCAAATAATATCTGTTTAATCATTTTTAAAAAAACAGTTTTAATATATTTCTTTCTTGATTTTTATTATTCTTTCTGAATTGATTAAATACCTCAAATTACTAAACGGGTGAATAATCCACCAATATTTAAACAAATTGTGTCTTCGTTTTTCACTAGCGATACGTGCCATGCTATCGAAATACTTTTTTGCCCTCGGTGTCATTCTGCTAATTTGAATTATAAAACTCCATCTTTCTCTGAAGGACAACTTCTTGTCATTATTTTGTACTTTCAATGTACATACATGATCCAACATTGTGGAATTTCTTTATTTGCTGTATTTTATCTTTAATCTGTATAATGTAAAATTATGAAACTTGAAAATATAAAAAATTAAGAAATTGGAAATATGACAATTTTAATAAAATTTGAAATCTGGAAATTAACAGTCTATAATAAAATCTATAATAAAATTTTAAAATTTTTGAAACTTGTAATATAACATTTGAAATTAATTTAGAAATTTGATATTTAAAATCTGAAATCTGATATCAGAAATTTCTGAATTTTTTAATTTATAATCTTAATAAATTTTAAAAGTTGAAATTATATAAGTTTTATATTGAACATCACTATTAGATAATCTTAATATATCCTTAATATAAACTGATATAAATTTACTTCAATATTACTTCTCCGTATTCTTCTATTTCAATTCAATTTTTTCCTTCTTTAAATCTGACGTATTCTATCAAATGAAATATGTCAATTGTTTATTATTCGTAACTAATCGTAACTAAGCAGGGAAAAGATAAAAACGAATAATGAAATAGTGAATTGTTGTTTATTAAAAAACTGTCGATGATAAAAAATATACCCAATCCTGTGTCGCCTTTATAATTCGACGAACGCCTATAACTAAGGTACATGTATACAAACGAGTGCGCACTATCGTTTTATTCTGTGCATATCACTGTGACAATGTACCATTCAACAACGATTTTCATCTTGGTTTTCTGATGAATGAACATAACAGCTTTTTGTGCGTGTGTCGATCGCTCGGCTCGATTATCGATAATTAACAAAAACGAAACGTGAATTTTGAGAATTAATATAGTTTTTGTATACCGGTGACTGTGAATTCGAATCAATAAAAAGAAAATATTTTTAATTTTTTTTTTAACCCTCCAATCAGTTTGATCAGTGCATATTGTAGCTTCTTGATGGCAATTTTTCTCTCATAATAATTGGATTAAAATATTTATCTGAATATTCTTTTATTAAATATGTTTGAAATATTTTTGAAATTTAAATATATGAAGAAATATATGAATATTTGAGAAACTATAATCTAATTTTGAAATATTATAGAAATAAACTTCAAAATTCTTCCTAAAATATCAATATCTTTGAAACTATAATTTCTTAATTATCTAAAATATCTAGGAACCATTCTATAATTATTCAAATCTTAATAACACGTAATTTAATTATTTAAATATTCATTAATTTAATATTATTAAATTTAGAAATATAAAAACTTATGATTAACGAAACGAAATAAATAAAAAATATATGATAATTTTCAACATTTTGGAGGGTTAAAAGAACTCCTGGATAAATTTTCTATTAAAAATAATAAGGTTAGCTAGTTAATTTAACTTCAACTATCAGTCTTCCCGGATATTTTTGCCTATCATTTGATATACATTCTAATATTAGTTTTAAAAAATACGACATTATGGTGCGTGTTTACGCTGTGAGCATAATAAATTGGTATCATTCGAATTTCGATCGTAAAGAAATCAATCTAATTTACAATCTTATTAAATTAATAATATATGAATAAATATGTATATGTAAATAATATTGATTAATTTACGATCGTAACTTTTATATAAAATCATGCTACTTTCTAAATATCGACTTCTCTCTTATCAATTTATATTTATCGTTTACCATGACTTTCGTTTATTAGTATACAAACGTATTTACGTTTACTAGTATACAAACATCAAGTCCTATATATATATTTAACAATCACGTTACAAAGCTTGGATATTGTTCATATTTTATACGTAACAAATATCCGAGTTTTTCATTCTTTTTACTTTTATAAAGCGAAATTATTTTGTCTTTTACGAAGATTGCTTTGTATTTAAAATTTTTTATTGAATTCTATTTAAAATATTTTATACTATACACGACAACATCTGTAAAGAAAAATATAATAAATTAAACAATTTTTATCTGAAAGAGATGAAATTTTATAGTTTTGCATTTTTGAAAATATATTTTGAATAAAAGTTATTTCATAGCATTTTAATAAAAATTCAATAATAAAAAATAATAAAATAATAATAAAAAATCTAATTATCAGGTAAATGTTAATCATAAAGCAATCCTCCAATTTCAATTTTTAACCTTCACATTGCGACTAATCTATAGTTCTCATCATTCTCATAATTATCCAATAAATACGACACAATATGAATTCGGTTCAAAATTTGTCGGATATCAATGGTACAATACGAAATGTACGAAATTGTTATAAAATCGTTTACAAACGATCAAACACCCTCTTCTCCGTTTCTATGTCTAATGATAATATTACAACATGAGCCGAATAATTATTTTTCATATTCGAGACATACTTCACTATTTCTCGTTAAAATCTCTTCAAAAATTGATGACTGAGCGTAAACAAGTCCTCAAATGTCCTCAAAAGATACACAATTGTGTTCTAAAGAACACAAATATCGGTCCAAATTGAATCATCTCTCAAAAATTCCATTAAAATTCCAATTATAAAATTATTTCCATTTTCATTCCATTCATCGACACGGACCATTTCCATGTGTTCACATCTATTTTGAGTCAATTTATTATACGTCGATACCAAGCAGTTCTCTGCTATCAGCTCTCGATAATCGACGACGTAAGCTGCGACGACGAAACTCCTTCCATCAGACTGATGCACGTTTTACGCGAATGCTCGAGGTCGAAGGAGGTCTGTATCCTTGGTAACCTTGATCCAGAAGCTCGGTATTGGGTGGTCCTAGACAGGTACACGAACATACGCTCACACAGTCGTCTGTGTCATGAACTATGGGCACGTGGCTAGCTAATATTTTTCCATTCACTGCAACCACCTCGCCATCCAGTGTTAAAACATGATGAGAAGCCGGTTGAAGTTCATTGTCTTCGCGACGAACATCACCGGTGTTCCTGTTAGATGAAGAAAGATAATTATAAATTTAAAGTTTTATGAATAATTAGAATTGATGATTAGTCAAATGATATATTGATTCTATGTAATAATATGATTATTAATATAATATAAAAAAAAATGTTAAGCAGGATTTTTTAAGAAATAAATTAAAATATAAGAGTTTTATAAAAATAAAAAATCATTATTAAACTATTTTTATGCAAATATAATTAATTATTTATATTTATCGATATGATCGAAATTCATATGGATTGTAAAAGATAGAGATATAATGGATAATAAAAGATATAATGGAGATATATAGTATATGTATATATGTGCTTTTTGAAGTTTATAAACGTTTACTTACATTGTCATAAAACGAAGTACGAGCAAATTTATACTTGCAGCAACGACGGCCAAGCCAAATAGGATAAAAACTAAGCTTAAGGCCACATATCCAGGTTTATTAGAAAGTGCATGATCATTCTGCAACAATTATAAATCAAACATATATTAATAAAAATTTTTTTATTGATATAATATAAATTATAAAAATTTAATATTACTAAATAAATTAAAAGATATAAATGAAACATTAATTTTTTTAATTTTTGATTAAATTTTAATACTAATTTGTAAATATACCTGTAATGCGACATAATCACCAAAACCAATCGTAGTTAGAGTAACGAAACAATAATAAAAGCTATCGAAGTAGCTCCATCCCTCATAACGCGAAAACACAGCCGCTCCAGTCGTGATAATTATACTTGAGAGTAAACCAGTAGCGAGCATCAGATTCATCTCGGTCGCTTCTGTTTTCTTGCATCTCATATAAGATTTCGCTCGCTTGATTACTACCGAGGCGAATTTATTCAAACGTTCACCGATACTTTGGAACATTACCAAACCCAGAGGAATGCCCACCATGGCGTACGCCATGCAAAATGCTTTACCTCCTATGGTGACTGGCGTCGAGTGTCCGTAACCTCGAAATTTTATAAAGAATTGTTAAATAATGAGTATCATAAATGAAATATTCAGTGAATAATTCTCTATATTTTTTTACATTAAATTATTTATTATTTTTTTCATTTTTTAAGAAAATATATAAATCAATTATTTTAATTGAAAATTCTAAGAATAATTGCCAATTTAATGTAATTTCTCTTAATATAGAATGTTATTTATTTCTTTCAATATAATGCTAATTTATTTAAAGGAATTAACATTTTGTTTTTTTATTTTATAAATACATGTACATTAAAGGTTTCAAGGTTGAAACTTGATATTGATTATCTACGATTTTCATCTTTGTATAACAATATATAGTTAGTAAATACTATGGAAAATATTACTTACCTATCATAGCGAGTACAAGGGTGGCGAAATAAAAGGCACCAGCGAATTTCCACTGAGGACCTGCTTTGTGCGGCTTGTTTTCTATTATTACAATCTCCAGCATTCTATAATCCTCCTGTGTGATATTATATTTCTTCATCATGTTTCGACGAACCTCTAAAATCATTAATATAAATGAAAAATTGTTTGAAAAATTCTTTCTTAATTTAATTATTTATATATTTTAAAAATATTTTGCAAATATTACTAGATATTTATATGCTGTTTTGTTAATTGAAATATGAATGTTTCCTATTCTGTCATTTTCAATTTTCATTGTTTTTATAATAAATATTGGTAGCCTCATAATTTTCTTCTTTATTTGTATCCCTTAATTCCTAATATTATATATATTTTCTTTAATCATACTTAATAATTCATATATATAAATATCAAATCTATATTCTCTTATACAAGGTAGGCAATTAAAATATTTTACTATTCAATTTCTTATTTTAAAAAAATTATCTTCAATTCCTATCATCGATATTTTTTTATTAATTTCTTTCAATTACTCATGCATTCACACATGAAATCTAACTAACAATCGAAACAATAACTTACCCGAAAGAAACTCCCACCGTTTCCTCTCAGTGTTCGATTCCAACGCATCAAACACCGCGGCACCAATTAACAAATACGTGAACGTGCACACTACCAATGACAAAGTTCTAACATTTTGTCTCTTCATTTTCACACAATCCTCCAACAACGAGAATTAATCCGTGTCGAACAGCCACAAAATCCGGCACACCTCGCAACGATCTGTCACGTTTCTTCCTTCCTATTTGCTCATCAACACGAACACGCGTCGCGTGTCGTTCATGATTCTTGAAAATTTGAAGGAAGGATCACAGACATCTTTCTCATTTTTTTTCTATTTTTTCAATGCTATCGATTAATCAACGACATGTTATTGATAATATTGAAAGAGAAATGAGACGATTATATGAAAGATAATAGCCACAAGCTCGGCTCGACACACGACTGAAGAGAAGTATTGATTAAATTCGAGAACGCGGTAAACTCCATAGAAACGTGGCCAGTGGTGTACGACAAGGCTGACTATCGGTAAGAACGATTTTGTAATTTTGATTTTGCTGATAGATATGGTAAGGTAGATGGTTTAGAGTGAAGTATGTAAGTTATTATAAATAAAATCTTTTATAAATTAAAGAATTAATTAATAATTTTAGCATTATTAGTAGTAAAAGTTGGTTAAAAATCAGACAGAAAGCTTTGATAGTTTGGTAGAGAAATTGATAGAGAAGAATTGATTTTGTAAATAAATTTGAGTGATAAAGTAGATAAAAAGTGCATAAAGTGTAAATTATTCTGAATAAAACATTTTAAAAACAATGAAATAATTATTATAATATTGCAATAATAACAATCAATTAAAAGTCGGACAAAAACATGTCAATAATTCAAAATTAATATAAATTTCAATATTGTTAAAAACGAAATATAATAAAGTTAAATTATTATTTTCTGTATTCATAAATCATTTAGATTTAGAAAATAATGAAAAAACTTCATTGCTAAAAGATGATAGTAAAAAATGATTAGTATGCAAATGTATATTTAGAATTAGGAAAACTGTAAAAAAAACAATTCGATACTATTCAATAAAAAATAATTATGAAAAATAAGTATAAAATTTAGTAAATATGAAAATAATAAGCATTCACAATATTTAGTGTGTCATTTTTTATCAAATTATGTTCTTTTAATACAAAATCAAAATTTTTAATTGCAAAAATTTAAAATTAGAAGAATATAATTTGATAAAAAATTGCACAAGTTTTTTTGAAATATTATAGTTACTTTTCATACTTATTTTTTTTTATACTTACTATTTAATACATTATATCTTTGATACATTGGCAGAAACTCTTGTTTATCATTTTTTCATCATTTTATGTTATTTATATTATTAATTACAATTATTGCCAGTGACGTATTTATTGTTTTTTATTTATCTTTTCATAATTATTTATTTTATCGAAAATAATAATAGAAATTATTATTTCTCATTTTATTTAATTCTAATTATAATAATTAGAATTAATAACTAAATTAATAATTAAAATTATAATATATTAACATATTTTGTACTTATCTCTCATATTATTAACTTGTTATATTCATTTTGATGTTTTTTTTTTTGTTCTCATCATTAAAATGAAAAACGTTCTTGTTATAATCTATACTATTCTGTATGGAATATATTGTAAGTATAGACAAGGAAAATAAAGAATTAAATAAGGACAGCGATAGTGTAAAAATATGGAAATCAGCGCCATCTTCAGAGTGCCGTAAATGAAACATAGAAAAAAAGGATAGCAACAAATTGAAAGAAGATAGAAACAAAGAATTAATCGCTAGCGTCACCTGTCAAATATTAAAAGAACTTTAACTTGAGCATTTTACGAAGAGATGGCGCCACGAGTCGGTATAAGTAAGTGCTGCCATCTCTTGCAAATTAGAGGAACATTAACTTGAGCACTTTTCGAAGAGATGGCGCCAGGAGTCGGTATAAGTAAGTGCTGCCATCTCTCGCAGACTAGAGGAACATTAACTTGAGCACTTTTCGAAGAGATAGCGCCACGAGTCGGTATAAGTAGGTGCTGCCATCACTCGCAGATTGAAGGAACCTTAACTTGAGCATTTTTCGAAGAGATGGCGCCACGAGTTGGTATAAGTAAGTGCTGCCATCTTTTGTCGATTGAGAAAACTTCAATTTCAGCGTACTTTGGAGAGATGGCGCTAAATGCTAAGTTTATATTATTTCTATCCTTTTCTACTATTTGCTATCCTTCTTTTCTTATGTTTACTTTACGCCAAACTAGAGATGGTGCTGATTTCCATATTTTTACTATCTCTATCCTTCTCGCACTTATTGTTTTTCTTGTCTATTTTATTTATCTATTTTATTTGATTATAACTATAATTATTACATTGTTACAACAAATATAGATATTTATAATGGCTTTTATATCTATGATATTTTTAATGAAAAAAAAGGAAAGGAGATGATTTATATATTTCATACATATTTTTTATATTTCATACATATGTATTATACATATTGAAGTAAAAATCTTTGTTATTCGTATTTTAAAATATTTTTTTATTACTTAAAATATTTTTTTATTACTTATAATAAATATAATAGATCTATATTAATCTTATTAATGATATTTCAGAACACAAACTTCGATAATATATTTAAGATTCTGCATATACTATTTTGCATGATAAGAATATTAATTAAATTTATTACATCTCATATGTAATAACCATTCTTTCAATCATTATAGAAAATTTTTTCTTGATTGAGAAAGTTGATAAAGATATCTTTGAACCTATTGAAGAAACTATATTGTTTAAATTGAACTTGCTATTCTACTATATGAATTTACTTTAACTTCCTGAACTGTTTTCATGCATAATCGAGTTACTAACACTACTATGATCTAGTTTTACAACTAAATTTAACTTTATTGCTGCTTACGCAATTATTTGTTGGCTATAAACTATTATTGTTTCCTTTGATCGTTTACTTTTACGATTCTATGTATTGAAAGGAAATGATAGAAATTATATATAACACTTATTGATTAATAATTTTTAAAAAAAATATTTAAAAAATCGTATGAAAAACAAAAAAATATAAAAGGGCTGAATATTGTTTTACATCTTATAATACAACTCTATCTCTTTCCATCTATCTGATCATAATTGTCTTTTACTATTTGTACGAGCTTAAATCTACTCGTTTTATTTCCATCTTTAAGGAACAATTTCTTTAACATAATTTTAAATACAATGTCGTAAGTTATTCAACCCCAACACGAAATTCCTTTGAAACCAGTCGTGGAAATAGTCAAACGCGTAAGAATGAAGGAAAAATGCACAATAATGTTGGATCTGGGTTAAAGGTGAAAAAACTGCGAAGGCGTACAATTTTTCCAACGACAAGCATGATAAAAATTGGAAAAAGAATTTCACATTAAAACGAGTAGATTTAAGCTCGTATAAATAGTAAAAGATAATTATGATCAGACAGATGGAAAGAGATAGCATTTAAACAATTAAAATAAAAATATACAAAATGAAATAAATCAATTTTGTCTAACGAATGACATGAGACAGTTAAAGACTAATAAAATCGTAATCAAAAAATATAAACTTTATATAATACAAATGAGATTTTTCCTACATAAATCACAAATCGATATACAACAATTTTAATTCAACTTTCAATATTAATTCTAAATTTTCTTTTATTTAAAAATGCATTAATATGATCATTGATCTTGAAATAATTTCTCAAGGACATCTATGCTTGCTGGATACTCGCAAAACAATTCCATATTCGCGTATTTCAGAATTTTAATACGGTTAAACATCTTAAAAGGAAGCATTTATGAATTCTGATTGGCGAAAACAGAAAGTTTACGTGCATTATAACTAGCCTCTTATATAGGAAAAATCTATTTTAAAAAACGAGGACCAAAAATAAAGATACTTTGAAGTGAATAGTGCAAAAATTATTCTCCTTTGTGCTACTCCTGAATATTTCGAAAATTTACAATCGCTTCTTCTTTATTGGAAAAGTCGAACTGTCTGAAACTTTTGAAACAATAAACTAGAAGGAATTTGCTTCCATGAAGGGAAAACTTGGAAAAATAACACAATGGCTCATATGCACATATTATGTGTAAGTTATTGTACAAGTTATTGATAGACTATTTATAATTGAATAAATATTTTTTATTTACTATTTCATATTATATTCTAAATTAAAATTATTTGTATAGTGAAAATAGTAAAAGAGAATTTCATCGAAAAAAATGAAAGATATTTAGCTAAAGTATTTAATTGAAATACAATTGACAAATATTTGGTTTATCATATAATAGCCAAACAAAATCCATCCTTTTTGGATCACTGATATTTTCTTGACCTTTCACTGAACCGTCGAATCATCAATATTTTTCTGAATTTTATACCCTTTATATTTTGTGTATTAAATCTTCTAATAATTTTATTATTAATTCTAAATTAATAGGTTTAAATAAATTAATAGGTTCAAAGTCTCAAATTTTGATTTGATTAATAATGTTGATTAATATTGTAACTTAAAAAATAGATTTCAACCAACGTTTTCCCAGCATCAATTTTTATCTTTCTTCGATATCAAAAATCGATTTCATCAACGATGAATTCCACTTCTTATTTCACTCTGGTTTCTATCCCAATAACAAATATTTCACAATCTAAATTTACACAAGAATCTAACTTCATCACATTAATTTTCCTACACATTTCACGTAATAAATTCTTCTCAGTTCCATCCATCACCTTTTACCCATTGTTTCACCCAAGACCATCAATCCTTTGCGTAAAATCGTCTCATCCTCCTCTTTCCAACTACAACTTATAACAAAAGGAAACAAGTATTTAATGCTCCAAAAACTCCATCAAACTTCCTCAAACCGACGAACTTTCCTTAGAACATTCTACTTAGTGGAACAAACAACCACTTTTAACGCTTAAGTAATTATAATTTCCACCTTTTGTATACAAAATACAAAACTGGCTCGTCTCCGTGGATCGAGGACACATTTTTTTTCAACGATTACACCCCCGATATCCAAGGTATTCGTACGAATCGATGCTTCGATCGTTTCATTATTTGCATGCAGATGCTATCCCAGACGAGTGATCCTGTTTGCACGAGCGTTTAACCGATAACGAACGTTTCCTTGCGCTTATATCGCTAATAACGAACGCCAAACGGGGCTGGTGCAAGGTGAAGTGGAGAGAAAATTACCGGGTGTTCCGCCGATAGTTAAACGTATTGGCTTATTTGTCAAGAAAACTGCAACCTTCTTCCTTCGATCCTTGGTTGGAAATTCGCCTTGAACGTTATGCGTTTCGAATGAAACACCAAAGAGTTGT